CATATTTATAAAGTATTTATAAGAGATTATAAGATTTTACAAGCTATTTTATAAGCTTTTACAAGTTATAAGGTTTTACAAGTTTTTTATAAGGTTTTACAAGTTATAAATAGCTTATAAAACTTTATAAGTACCTTGTAAAACCTTTTAAAATACATTGTAAAACCTTACAAAACACTTGTAAATACTCCGTAAAACCTTTAAAATACCTTGTAAATTTTTCCCGCCAAAAATTTTCCCGCCAAAAAAATTTCGGCAAAAAAAATTGCGGAATCACTTTTCCCGCAAAAAAAAATTTTTGGCGGGAAAAATTTTTACGGGAAAATTTTACAAGGTATTTTAAAGGTTTTTACAAGTGTTTTGGCGGGAAAATTGCGGGATCACTTTTCCCGCCAAAAAATATTTTGTATTTTGTGGACCTAATTTTGTTTCAAATAAGGGTAAAATGGTCATTAAAATTAAAAGAGGGCAAACTTAAAAATGAACTCTCAAAAGGGGCATTTTTGAAAAGGGGTATTGAAAAAGGGGCATTTTTAACAATTTCTCAACAAAAAATATATACAGTCGGATAACAACAATTGATTTACTCGCATGTTCTACTATACCATGTGACATATGTCTCTTTTTTTGGTACTAAACCAAATTTCTCATAGCTTTAGATATTAATTAAATATTTTATATATTGTTATTTTTATTTTTATAAATCATAAAGTAAAATTTTATATATATTAAGCTCCATTATGCAAAATTTTAAATTAAATTTGATATTACTTATAATGGATTATATTATTAAGTATTGCTAATAAAATTATTAATATTTATGATTTTATTATTGTTATATTTATTTATTATTATAACTAATTAGTATAATTAAAATTACTTAAGATGTAATTTTATATGTTTTAAAAAATATTGATGAAAATTTATCAACATTAAATTATATGCACTAATTACAATGGGTATCTCAACAATGGAGATAGTATCTAGTATGAGGTTCTTAATTTAAATTATACTAAAAATACTAATATTATGTTGGTAAGATACTAATTTAAATATAGTAATAGGGTATCTTACTAATGGAAATGCTCTAAGAATGTTACACTATAAATCATAATCATTTAATTGCTTATGGTCAAATTATATGCACTAACAAAATCTCAAGCATAAAAATAAATATAAAAACTTCTTAACTAAAAATATAGTTTCTCTAAAAACATATTACAAATTCAGTATCCTATTATTTTTCGAATCTCATGGTATTTTCTTAAGTTAATATAAAAAATAATAATTAGTGTAATCTTTTATTTTTTCTACATATGTACAACAGCTTTCAATTATTGCATGCAAATTTATATTAAAAGAATAGGACGAAAGTTTGGAAATACTTACTTTATTTATAATTTTAGGTATATGTTATGGATATATGACCAAAAGGTTGATATATATAGGGAGAGAGCTGAACGAAAAGCTTAGCTCTCTGTCACACACAGACACACTTCGAAAACCCACAAAGATAACAAAAAATGGGCATAGAGCTTCAGAATCACCAGAGCCACCATGAAGAAGCCGGCCCCACGGAAGAGCCGATATCACGGTGGCTGATAAATACGCCGGAACCACCAAGCATGTGGCAAGAGCTTGCTGGGTACATAAGAACAAATGTGTTGGCCAAGAAGAAACATAGGAGGAACAACACGAAGAACTCATCATCAAACCCTGTTTACTCTTGTCTTAAATCGGTTTTCCCTATACTTAGTTGGGGAAGACAATACAAACTCAACTTCTTCAAGAAAGATTTGATGGCAGGTCTCACTCTCGCTAGTCTTTGCATTCCTCAGGTAACTCTACTCACCACTTTTATCCAAAAAAATAAAGAAAAAAAAAATTTTACTCACCAATTGTAATCGATATATGTCAATATAATAAATGTTGGATTCTTATAGATACATTTTCAATTTCATTTTTTGCAGAGTATAGGGTATGCGAATTTGGCTGGACTTGATCCAGAGTACGGTCTATGTAAGTCCAAAACTCGAATTGAAATTTGCATTGTTACTTATATTTTTGCAACGAATATAATTAAAATTATGCAAATATAAATAACAGATACAAGTGTGGTACCACCTCTGATATATTCGACGATGGGAACTTCGAGAGAGTTAGCCATTGGTCCTGTGGCTGTAGTTTCGCTTCTTCTTTCGTCAATGGTTCGTGACATTCAAGATCCGGTCACAGACCCAATTGCTTACCGAAAAATTGTCTTCACTGTCACGTTTTTTGCTGGCGCGTTTCAAGCCATCTTTGGACTCTTCAGGCAAATAATTGGATAGAGATTCATATAATCTTAAATTCTAAATATTATAATTGTTGTTTTGGACCAACGACGACGACAAAGGTGTATTAATCTGATAAAAATTTGTTATTATAATGAATCAGGTTAGGGTTTTTGGTGGATTTTTTGTCACATGCTGCACTTGTTGGGTTCATGGCTGGTGCTGCCATTGTCATTGGTTTACAACAACTCAAAGGTTTATTTGGTTTGTCTCATTTTACCAACAAAACCGATGTGGTTTCGGTTGTATCTTCGGTTTTCCACTCGCTTCACCATCCGGTACGAACCATTTTTTTTTTTTTCCTCAACTCTTTTCGTTAAAATATTAAAATATTAAATTTATTTTAACTATTTTTTCAGTGGCAGCCTCTGAACTTTGTCATTGGTAGCGCATTCCTCATCTTCATCCTCCTAGCTAGATTTATCGTAAGTAAACCAAATTTGCCGTGCATTTGTATATTTGTACTTTTATTCATTTTTATGATTTTTATAAAAACAGGGGAAAAGAAACAAAAAATTGTTTTGGATTCCGGCGATGGCACCGCTAATATCAGTTGTATTAGCAACACTAATCGTGTATTTAACCAATGCTGAGACACGAGGGGTTAAGATTGTTAAACACATTAAACCAGGGTTTAACCAACTTTCGGTTAACCAATTACAATTCAAAAGCCCACATCTTGGTCAAATCGCCAAAATTGGTCTTATTTCTGCAATCATCGCCCTAACGGTTAGTAATATATATTCTCTTACTCTATGTATAACCAAAATTAATCACTGATTAATCTGTAATTAATTGATTTAAAATTAAATGAAACAATTCAGGAAGCAATTGCGGTGGGAAGATCATTTGCGACGATCAAAGGATATCGTCTGGATGGGAACAAAGAGATGATGGCTATGGGATTTATGAACATCGCCGGCTCTTTATCTTCTTGCTATGTAGCTACCGGTAAAATTTTTTTTTTCCTTTTGATCTTCTTGTTTTTTTTTTACGTAAGTTAACCCGGTTTAGTAATTAAAATTAGGCAATGTTTATTTTTGATAAATGTTGTATAGTAACGGACACGGAACATGTCTGATGGTATGGATAATTCGGACATATAAACTTTATGAGTAATTTATAGATAATGTTGGATAAAATATGAAAAACAGGGTCCTTCTCAAGAACGGCGGTGAATTTCAGTGCTGGCTGCGAGACGGTCGTTTCGAACATTGTAATGGCGATTACAGTGATGATATCACTAGAAGTTTTGACGAGGTTTCTCTACTTCACACCAACGGCGATTCTTGCCTCCATAATTCTCTCGGCGCTTCCAGGTCTCATTGATGTCTCCAGTGCTTTACACATTTGGAAACTCGATAAACTCGATTTTCTTGTCCTCATCGCCGCCTTCTTTGGCGTTCTCTTTGCCTCCGTCGAGATCGGTCTCCTTCTCGCCGTGAGTCTTTCCTTATCCTTCACTGCTTTTATTTTTCTTGCTTTATTAGACTCTTATCCATGCCGGCTTATTATTAACTATACGCATCATAATTGAAGTTTTTGTTATTATTCAGATTGATTGTTACCCTGAAGGGTCAAGTCAACTAAACTTTATATATCCAATCATGTGAATTCATCCTATAGAGACCAAAAGCGTCAATATCTCATATATTTTATAACCAATAACACTGTTATATAAAAACGCTACTAGGCCGACCAAATTCGCTGTGCATTGTGAAGATGTAGCTGCAGTCTGATGAAGTTGTTGAATGAGTTAAGAAGTAATACAAGTTTTTGTCTGATGGAGTTCCTGAATGATTCAAGAAGTAAGTCAAGATGCGACTGTTTTTGTGTGAGTGTCGGTTTCTAGAAGGTTTGAGAAGATATGTTTGGAGCGTGTTTGGAGGATGAATCACAAAGGAAAAATGACTTAAAGGGATTTGGAAGACTTGATGAAAGTGAAGTTTGATGAAAAAAAGGAAAAGTATAAAAGGAAATTTACTTTTTCTCATGGAAATTGGAAATCTTCTCCTATGGTGATTAGGAAATCGTTTTGGCTATATAAGGAGGAGCTGAGGACGTCTTTAGGAGGTTAGAGAGCTGAGGCATAAAGAAGAAATCTTTGAGAGCTTTCGGTGAGATTGTGTGCAACTTAGTTTTGCGGGTTTGTGCTTGTGTGATCAAGTGGTTTTGTTTTGAAGTCTAGGCTCAAGGGGAGTTTAGCTCAGAGTTAGGTTATCCTGATTAAATCTAGACTCAAGGGGAGTTTAGTTAAGGGTAGAGATTATCCTTAAGGTTTCACATTATAGAAGGGAGCGGTAAATCAAGAGGGTTGGGCTTGTTTTACGCGTTTGCGAATTGGTTGTAATTTGCTTATTTGTTCTAGTGGAATCGAAATCTGGACGTGGTCCCGGGGAGTAGGAAAAACCGAACCTCGTTAACAAATTTCTTGTCTCGTTTACTTTCTACAATTTATCGTACCTCATCCGCACTTACAATTGGTATCAGAGCGGATTCTCGATAGAGATTTAGTCTTGTTTCGAGTAGATCAGGGTGAGGTTCAGGAGATTGTTCAGAAGATTATTCAGGAGATCGTTCAGAAAGTAAGACAGAGCTGAGAATCGTGTGAGATGGAGTCATACAAGGAAGGTACGTCTATGACAAGATCACCACTTCTTGATTCAGCGAATTATGGATATTGGAAGGTTCGTATGCAAGCTTTTATTAGTAATCTTGATGAAGATTGTTGGAATTCAATTGAACTTGGTTGGGAGGCTCCTAAAGTTACGGATGATGATGGAGTTGGAAGTCTGAAGCCAAGAGATAAGTGGACTGCTGCAGAGAAAAAGCTATCAAGTTGCAATTCTAAGGCTAAGACTGCGATTTACAATGCTATTGATTCATGCCGCTTTAAGTTGATTTCTCAATGTGCATCAGCTCAAAAAGCATGGAAGACATTGGAGAATATGTTTGAAGGTACTACAAGCGTTAAGAGAACGAAATTGATATGTTGGCTTCGCAATTTGAGAATCTAAGGATGGAAGAAGAGGAAACTGTGGCTGATTTTAGTGCAAAGTTATGTGACATATCTAATGAATCGTTTGCTCTTGGAAAGGTCTACAAGGACAAAAAGCTAGTGAAGAAGTTGAAGAGATCATTGCCTGCAAAATTTGAGTCAAAGATTTCTGCAATTGAAGAAGCTCATAATCTAGATGAGATGGCTTTTGATGAGTTTGTTGGGATTCTTCAAGCTTTTGAGTTAAGCAAAGCATATGAAGCTAAACGAAAGATGAAGAAGGTAGATGAAGTGAAGAAGGAAGTTGACATTGGAGTTGCTCTTAAAGGATCATCAACTGAAGATTCAATGGCTATGTTGTCAAGACAGTTTACTAAATATCTGAAGCGAAAAGGAAAAGAGAAGAAGGATAGAATTGATGAAAAATTGAGAAGTTCATCAAAGAATGTGCAATGTTTTGAATGCAAAGGATATGGACATGTTCGTTTGGAATGCGCCAATCTACAAAAGCATAAGAAGAAGGCCATGAATATTGTGACTAGTGATTCTGAAACTGATTCAGATGAGGAAGAAGAACTGAAGAATTTTGTGGCGTTTACTAATTTTCTGCCAGAAACTGCAACAGAGTCTGCATCAGCGTCTGTGTCAGGGTCTTCATCAGCGTCTGTGTCAGGGTCTGCATCAGCGTCTGTGTCAGGGTCTGCATCAGTGTCTGCAATAGGAGCTGTAATTGAAAGTGACAATGATCAAAGTGATGACGATGCTGGAAGTATCAGTGATGAAGAGTTTCATGAGAATTACAAAGCCTTATATGAACATTGGCTTAAAATGGTTGAGGAGAATTCAGTGTTAACTACGGAGAAACTCAAGTTAGAGGCTAAAGTCATTGAAGTACAGAAATATGCTGCAGAAAAAGAAGAAGAAGCATCACAAGCTAAAGTACAACTTGAAGAAACTCAAAAGAATTTGAAGATGCTTAATAATGGCACAAAGAAGTTGGATCATATTTTGAATATTGGCAAGACTGATAAGTGTGGCCTTGGATTTGAAGGAAAACTTTCAAAATCGGATCCGGTGTTTGTTTATGGTGGTAAAATCACGTCTGCTTCAGGAACTGATACAGAGTTTGATACAGGAAAAGTTAAAGAACTACAGAGTACACCTCGACGAGTTTTTCGACCTGTTTGTCATCATTGTGGTGTTGTTGGGCATATTATACCAAGGTGTTTCAGATTATTGAGGGAGAGAAATCGAATGGAGAATGCTTATGATGTGAGATTTCTTGGTTCTACATGTTATCATTGTGGAGTTCAAGGGCATATTAAGAGGAATTGTTTCAGATTCAGTCGAGAATCCAGCCATGTAGGCTTAAGGCGCAAGAAGATCTGGGTTAGGAAAGATGATTTCTATGGAGGTGGTGTACTAGGCTATCAACCTCGTATTGCAAAGCGGGGAGAATTTTCCAAGTAGTTTTGACCATGTTGTGACTCATTCAAGGGGAGAATGATGATGTGTTTCGTGTTGTTGTTTTGGAGTTAGAACTGATGAGTTCACAAACATAGTCAAAAAGGGGGAGAATGAAGATGTAGCTGCAGTCTAATGAAGTTGTTGAATGAGTTAAGAAGTAATACAAGTTTTTGTCTGATGGAGTTCCTGAATGATTCAAGAAGTAAGTCAAGATGCGACTGTTTTTGTGTGAGTGTCGGTGTCTAGAAGGTTTGAGAAGATATGTTTGGAGCGTGTTTGGAGGATGAATCATAAAGGAAAAATGACTTAAAGGGATTTGGAAGACTTGATGAAAGTGGAGTTTGATGAGAAAAAGGAAAAGTATAAAAGGAAATTTACTTTTTCTCATGGAAATTGGAAATCTTCTCCTATGGTGATTAGGAAATCGTTTTGGCTATATAAGGAGGAGCTGAGGACGTCTTTAGGAGGTTAGAGAGCTGAGGCATAAAGAAGAAATCTTTGAGAGCTTTCGGTGAGATTGTGTGCAATTTAGTTTTGCGGGTTTGTGCTTGTGTGATCAAGTGGTTTTGTTTTGAAGTCTAGGCTCAAGGGGAGTTTAGCTCAGGGTTAGGTTATCCTGATTAAATCTAGACTCAAGGGGAGTTTAGTTAAGGGTAGAGATTATCCTTAAGGTTTCACGTTATAGAAGGGAGCGGTAAATCAAGAGGGTTGGGCTTGTTTTACGCGTTTGCGAATTGGTTGTAATTTGCTTTCTTGTTCTAGTGGAATCGAAATCTGGACGTGGTCCCGGGGAGTAGAAAAAACCGAACCTCGTTAACAAATTTCTTGTCTCGTTTACTTTCTACAATTTATCGTACCTCATCCGCACTTACACATAGTACAACAAAATATTAATAATGTATAATGTTTCATTCAAGTGGCAAATAAGTAACACAAAAAAATTGGCTGTGGGATATCTTTTGTATAGACACTTGTGTCTCTTTATCCTTTTGATCAACTGTGATGTTACTAAGTAATAGAGCTGTGAATTTTAATTGATAAGACTATAATAATAGTTATTTTTGTATATCTATAGGTGGGGATATCGTTTGCAAGAATAATGTTGAGTTCGATAAGACCAAACATTGAGGCCTTAGGGAGGTTATCAAAAACAGATATCTTCGGTGACATAAATCAGTATCCAATGGCTAATAAGACTCCGGGATTATTGACTCTTCGAATCAGTTCTCCTTTGCTATGCTTTGCCAATGCCAATTTTATTAGAGACAGGTCATTATCAATATTTTTCTCTCTTTTTTTTTTGGTTCAAACATCATTAGTTTATCAAGTTTGACAATTTTTATGGGATTATGAAACTCTATCAAGTTTGAAACATCATTATGAATCTCTATCAAGTTTGACAATTTTTATTTTAACTTTATTTTTTTTCTTTCAGAATATTGAATTCAGTTCGAGAAGTAGAAGAAGAGGAAAATGAACAAGAAGTTACAAAAGAAAATGGTCTTCAAGTAGTAATTCTCGACATGTCTTGTAAGCACATTCACATTCTATCATGATACTAAATCATAGAAAAAGTTCTAATTATACAATAAAGTACTTAATATTACATGTAACAAAATATTTGTGAAGACGTGATGGGGGTAGATACATCAGGAGTAGTTGCACTTGAAGAACTACATCAAGAGCTAGCTTCTAATGACATCCGGGTACATTTTTATTTCTCTTCCACATAAAATATATAACCTATATGCTCAATCAAATGTTATTCATTCACTAGTTACATATGTGGGTGGGGTTCATTGGTTATTCAACTTACCATTTTTTTTTTTTTTTTAATGTTTGGGGCTGCAGTTAGTCGTCGCTAGTCCCAGATGGAGGGTACTTCACAAATGGAAGCGAGCAAAATTGGACGAGAAGTTGAAATCAGAAAATATATATATGACAGTAGGAGAAGCCGTAGATGTTTATGTAAGAGCAAGATCTACGTCCCACGATTTGTGTTGATATATGTAAGCATCAAATTAAACAGTATACAAGTAAAACATAAAACCTAGTGGTTTCTGATAATATTGTTGTTGTATCACATAGCCTAGTACTCCATCCGTTTCGTTTTAGTTGTCGTTTTAGAACTTAAATTTTGTTTCGTATTAGTTGTCGTTTTTAGGTTTTCAATGCAAATGTTTGGTAAAAATTCCAGTATTATCCCTATTGTTTTAATGTTGTGGCCAATGAATTTTTTTATAAAATATATTAATAAAGAGTAAAACAGAAAATTTAATGTTTTTCTTAATTTGTGTGAAAAAACTTAAACGACAACTAAAACGAAACGGAAGGAGTAGTTTTTATAAAATATACAAATGACCAAAAAGGTACAATTTTCAATGCATAAGGCTATAAAATCTTCTATCTAATGACATTATTTGACTTCGTTGCCATTGCTCTCAAATCTCCGTTGGACGCGAGAAGTCTCGTGTGATCTTGAACCATTACAGTGGCATTGCCTCGCAGATCAAGCACGCTAACAACATGGGATTCGAGAAAGAAGTGAGCGATGTGTTCTGCTCTGCTCTGTTTCACAAGTATATGGTTGATGAAGATGAGGATGATATTCAAAGCCATCTCTAATCTCTCTGTTTTTAATCTTATGATATGCTGTTCTTTTTTCATTAATGAGTTTCGGGCTATGGAAGGAGATATATTTGTATTTGTTTGATTACTTATTTGTCTTAGATGATGGATGATGACTCTGGTGATCGGAAACTCTTTGTTTGTGTAAGCTTCTTATATCTTGATGTGTCATTTCCTTGCTTAGGAAGTGTCTTTTATTAAAACTATATATGTTGCCAGTTAACCGAATTGGGCCGAGTGGTTTACTTGGACCGGACCCATGAAAAAGTAACAAGTCGGCGTTATAAGTGCACATCCCACATCGTTTAGTGGGAGAGATACTTCCTTGAAACTTGTCTATAAATTAAGGCCCCTGTTTCTTTCTCTTGATATATTAACTGGGCTTTTAAAGCCATGACCCATTATGTGTATGAGGCCTTTGGAATTTAAATGAATTCCATCATAAGTCGGCCGATTCGGTCGCCCACTGAATGGGTTAGGCCCAAGTTTTTTTTTTTTCATTGGTTTTTTCGAGTCTTTTTGTAAAAATTGTTTTCCACGTTTTGTATTTCTTTTCAACTGTTTTTGTTTTTACACCTTTTTTTTTTCTAATGTTTTGTTTTGGTTTTGATAAGTGTTAAATTTTTAAATTTTGTGTAAACTAATTAGATACAACATCCAAACCCCTAAGAGGTGTTCTAGGTTTAATATAGTTTACACATAATTAAATTTTTTAACACTTGTTTTTTTTTAAAAAAATGTTTTTTTTTTCTTTTTTTTTTAAGTGTTAAAATTTTAAATTATTGTGTAAACTAATTGGATACAATATCCAAACCCCTAAGAGGTATTCTAGGTTCAATATAGTTTACACATAATTAAATTTTTTAACACTTGTTTTTTTAAAAAAAGTTTTTTTTTTGTTTTTTTTTTTTTTGTAAGTGTTAAAATTTTAAATTATTTTGTGTAAACTAATTGGATACAACATCCAAACCCCTAAGAGGTGTTTTAGGTTCAATATAGTTTACTCATATTTAAATTTTTAACACTAGTTTTTTTAAAAAATATATATTTTTTTTGGATAAGTGTTAAATTTTTTAATAATTTTTTTAAAAAAATGGTTATGCAATGGACAATAATCTCTAAGAAAAAATCTTGATGGACTATGATGAGCCCTCTATTAAAATTGGGCTAAAAACATTAACTCATCGGCAAATTTTTTTTTTTTTCCTCAACGGCAAATTTAACCAAAAACCACCTCGGTTTTATAAAAGGTGTGTTCACACCAATTTATACTCCCTCCGTTCCTTGAAGTTTGATGTTCTAGTGTTTTGAGTTTGTTCCACAAAGATTGATTTTCTAAATTTTTTTTATTTTTAATTAATTGATTTTAGTAAATCGTAGATTTCAAGGCGTAATGATTAACTGTTTCAGATTACTATTGGTTCATAGTTTATTAAAAAATATTTAATAAAAATAAATAATTAAACAATGATTGTTTCTTAAGAAATGTGAAATGTCTAAAAAATCAATTATCTAAGAACAGAGGGAGTATATTTCTTGTGCCATATTTTCAGCTAAACAACAAAATTGTTTCATTTGTGAATACAAATAAAAATTTTGAAAAACAAAAACAAAATAACTAAAACCAAATGCAAATCACGAGATTTGCAAAGAAAGGGCCAAATAGGCAGAGAAACCTGAAACCATAACTGGAAATTGCCAAATGTCAACACCAGTTGGAAAGAATACAATGGTGGTTCAAGGTCGTACTTACTGTGACCTTTGCAAATTCGGCTTCGAGACTCCTGAATCCTCCTACTTCATCCCCGGTATATATCATATCTTCTCTCTCTCTCAATGCTTTCGAGATCTGAGAAATTTCCGATGTTAATGTTCTCATTAGTGTTTGATTCGTCGATTCTAATGGAGTAGATAGTTAGATCTGAGTGCTGAATCTCGATTTTGATGGATTAGTTAGTTTGATTCTCTATACTCGTTGTTTTAACTGCTTTTGCTCTAGATCTGGCTTTAGATTGACTTAAATTTGAAGATACGACGACACTTATAAGATGATTGATTCTTGTTGTGTTCAAGAAATTTCGTAATCTTGAAGAAGTGGTAGCACAGCTTTGTTCATTGATGCGAATTGTTTTGTTCTTGATTGTGGTGAGGATTGTTTTGTTCTCAAGTTCACAGATGTTGATTGTGGTAATGATTGTTTTGCTTGTTTAGGTGCAACGGTGAAGCTTTCATGCAGAGACAGGAAGACAATGGAGGAGGTTTACACTGACGAAGCTGTATCAGACAAACAAGGAAATTACAAGTTCATTGTCCACGACGAGCACAAAGACGAGATGTGCGATGTTTTGCTAGTGAAAAGCGCAGTCAAGGGATGCTCTAAAATCTCCGTTGGACGTGAGAAGTCTCGTGTGATCTTGAACCATTACAGTGGCATTGCCTCGCAGATCAGGCACGCTAACAACATGGGATTCGAGAAAGAAGTGAGCGATGTGTTCTGCTCTGCTCTGTATCACAAGTATATGGTTGATGAAGATGAGGATGATATTAAAAGCCATCTCTAATCTCTCTGTTTTTAATCTTATGATATGCTGTTCTTTTTTCATTAATGAGTTTCGGGCTATGGAAGGAGATATATTTGTATTTGTTTGATTACTTATTTGTCTTAGATGATGGATGATGACTCTGGTGATCGGAAACTCATCTGTTTGTGTAAGCTTCGTATATCTTGACGTGTCATTTCCTTGCTTAGGAAGTGTCTTTTATTAAAACTATATATGTTGCCAGTTAACCGAATTGGGCCGAGTGGTTTACTTGGACCGGACCCATGAAAAAGTAACAAGTCGGCGTTATAAGTCCACATCCCACATCGTTTAGTGGGAGAGATACTTCCTTGAAACTTGTCTATAAATTAAGGCCCCTGTTTCTTTCTCTTGATATATTAACTGGGCTTTTAAAGCCATGGCCCATTATGTGTATGAGGCCTTTGGAATTTAAATGAATTCCATCATAAGTCGGCCGATTCGGTCGACCACTGAATGGGTTAGGCCCAAGTTTTTTTTTTTCATTGGTTTTTTCGAGTCTTTTTGTAAAAATTGTTTTCCACGTTTTGTATTTCTTTTCAAATGTTTTTGTTTTTACACCTTTTTTTTCTAATGTTTTGTTTTGGTTTTGATAAGTGTTAAATTTTTAAATTTTGTGTAAACTAATTAGATACAACATCCAAACCCCTAAGAGGTGTTCTAGGTTTAATATAAGTTTACACATAATTAAATTTTTTAACACTTGTTTTTTTTTTTAAAATGTTTTTTTTTTGTTTTTTTTTTTAAGTGTTAAAATTTTAAATTATTGTGTAAACTAATTAGATACAACATCCAAACCCCTAAGAGGTGTTCTAGGTTTAATATAGTTTACACATAATTAAATTTTTTAACACTTGTTTTTTTTTTTTAAATGTTTTTTTTGTTTTTTTTTTTAAGTGTTAAAATTTTAAATTATTGTGTAAACTAATTAGATACAACATCCAAACCCCTAAGAGGTGTTCTAGGTTTAATATAGTTTACACATAATTAAATTTTTTAACACTTGTTTTTTTTCTAAAAATATTTAAATTTTTAAAACTAGTTTTTTAAAAAAATATATTTTTTTTTTGGATAAGTGTTAAATTTTTAAATAATTTTTTTTAAAAAATGGTTATGCAATGGACAATAATCTCTAAGAAAAAATCTTGATGGACTATGATGAGCCCTCTATTAAAATTGGGCTAAAAACATCAACTCATCGGCAAATTTTTTTTTTTTTCCTCAACGGCAAATTTAACCAAAAACCACCTCGGTTTTATAAAAAGTGTGTTCACACCAATTTATACTCCCTCCGTTCCTTGAAGTTTGATGTTCTAGTGTTTTGAGTTTGTTCCACAAAGATTGATTTTCTAGATTTTTTTTTATTTTTAATTAATTGATTTTAGTAATGTGATTGTTTCTTAAGAAATGTGATTGTTCCTACATAATTTTAGTAATGTGATTGTTTAAACAATGATTGTTTCTTAAGAAATGTGAAATCTCTAGAAAATCAATTATGTAGGAACAGAGGGAGTATATTTCTTGTGCCATATTTTCAGCTAAACAACAAAATTGTTTCATTTGTGAATACAAATAAAAATTTTGAAAAACAAAAACAAAATAACTAAAACCAAATGCAAATCACGAGATTTGCAAAGAAAGGGCCAAATAGGCAGAGAAACCTGAAACCATAACTGGAAATTGCCAAATGTCAAAACCAGTTGGTCGCCGTCAAGAACAAAACAATAAACCCTTTTTTTTTTGTCGAAAAGCTCGATTTGCATTAATTGGGAACCGGTACAATTGAAATTGGATGTAAGGCAGCTTTAGCTAAAGCATCTGCTTTACGATTCAATTCTCTCTTAACAAAAGTGAATCTAAGTTCATCAAAACATAGAGAAAAAGATGAGATGTCGTGGAGAATCCCATAGAGCTCCTTTGGTTGGGGCTCCAAATTGAGTGCTTTGATTAGCTGTTGCGAATCTGAAGCGAGTAAAAGTTTTTTGATGCCAAGATCTGAGGCCTGATGAAGAGCGTGAAGAAGGGCAATTGCTTCTGCCATTAGAGGCGAGCTCACATTCCTCTCGATCGCGTTGAATGATTTCTCAGACTGAGATGCGGGATCGGTGAAGAGACATCCTAAACCAGCAACACGGGAATCCTCTCGCCAGGCTGCATCGGTATAGCATCGTATTGTGGTCGAATCGGTCTCAACAGGTGATGAGAGCTGCGGAGCTTTCTGGATAGCTTTCTCAGTGACTTGAGCTGCGATCCACTCTTTTGCATGAATAGTGGCTTGGGCTAAAACATCGCAGCTCGATTGATGTTTCTGTTCAAAAATCCTCTTATTTCGACAAGACCAGAGCATCCACATGATCCATGGGAAGAGATTACCTTGTACAAATCTTGTAGGTGGAAGGCAAATCAGATGTTTGGAGGCTTCAATTCCCAGCTTCAAGCTACCAATACGGTCGGAGCTTAAAGTGGATTTAAAGGGTGCTTGATCCGAAACTTGTCTAGCAAACGGGCAGTGGAAGAACAAATGTAACTCTGTTTCTTCTTCGCCACAGTGGGGGCAATTAGCTTCAGTATTGATTCCTCTTGATTTCAGGTTTGCTCCTACAGGGAGGGCGTTCTTCATAGCTTTCCAAAGAAGAAATTTAACTTTAGGTGAGCACTTGATGAGCCAAATTTCCTTATTCCAATTGAAAACAGTGGAGTCTCCGACTTGGCTACTTCGATGTTTCTCCAGAATTGCAGCAGCTTGGTATCCCGTTTTAACGCTATAATCCCCTGTCTTAGTAAGGAGCCACACATAGCGGTCAAGAGCTCCCACCTTGCTTGGTCTGAGTGTGAGGATCTCTGCTTCATACTGCGGGAGGTGATGCAGGATTTTTCCTCTGTCCCAGGACTTGGTAATTGGGCAAATGAGCTGATCCACTGTCATATGTTGATTTTGCGTAGTTCTTGGTCCGATTGGGGTTATTGGTGAGGTGAGTGAGATCCATGGTTCTGTCCAAATGTTAGTAGCTGATCCTGATCCAATAGCTCTACCCAATTGTGATTTGATAAGGTCCCTGCCAAGACAGATTCCTCTCCAACCATGAGAGGCTGACGCCGAAATTGAGCAGTCAAGAAAAGAACTTGTTCTGCAATATTTTCCTAATAAGACTCTGGCTAAAAGACAGGAGGGTTTCGAGAGAATCCGCCAGCTCACTTTTGCAAGTAAGGCGTCGTTAAAGTTTCTGATATCTTTAAATCCTAACCCTCCATCTCTCTTTGATTTTGTCATTTTTGACCATGCAATCCACACCATTTTCTTTTTTCCAGAAGAAGAGTCCCACCAAAACCGTGTGAGGGCTGATTGAATCCTGTTACAGAGCGATCCCGGAAGTTTGAAGCAAGACATTGTATATGAAGGCATCGCAGCCAGCACTGATTTTAGCATAGTAGTCTTTCCTGCTGCAGACAAGAAGCGTGAGGACCAACTGAGAGATCGTTGTCGGATTCTATCAATGATTTGGTTAAAGAGATCTCTCTTCTTTCTCCCAAACATTTCAGGTAGGCCTAGGTATTTTCCGAGGCCTCCAGTTCTTTGAATTCCCAGGATTTGTTGTGCTGTTGCTTTGGTAATCTCTGTGGTTTTGGCTGAGAAAGTGATAGCTGATTTTGATTTATTTATCATTTGACCAGAAGCTGCTTCGTACTGTTGTAGGATGTTCATGAGGACTGTGCATGATTTAGAGTCAGACCTGCAGAAAAACATTGTGTCATCCGCAAATAGTAGGTGGTTGACTCTGGGGCTGCCTTTGCTAACTCGGATCCCAGGTAACCTTCCTTCAAGTTGTGCTTTCCTACATAAACCTGATAGAACTTCACTGCAAAGTATGAAAAGATAAGGGGATAACGGATCCCCTTGTCTTATTCCTCTTTGTGGAGTGATAGAGCCTTGAGCTGAGCCATTTAGGAGGAAAGAGTAAGATACTGTGGTTATACATTGCATGATCCATTGTATCCACTTGTGGTGAAACCCCATTTCCTCCATTACTCTCTTGATGAATTCCCATTCAATGCGGTCGTACGCTTTGCTCATATCAGTTTTAACCGCCATGAAACATCTCTTCTTAGCTCCTGATGTCTTTAGATAGTGCAAAGTTTCATGTGTGATAAGCACATTGTCTGTGATTGCTCTTTTTGGTACAAAGGCTGATTGGTTTTCTGATATTATCTCTTGTAGGACTGGCTGGAGTCTTCTTGACAGCAGTTTAGAGATAATTTTGTAAAAAACTGTGCACAAAGCAATAGGTCTGTAGTCAACCATCTTCTGTGGACTTTGAATTTTTGGAATCAATCTGATATGAGTCTTATTGATGTTGCTTTGCAGGTTAGCAGAGGAGAAGAAAGACTGAACTTCTAAAACAATATTGTGGCCGACTGTTCCCCAGTATGTCTGGAAGAAACTTGATGAGAAGCCATCGGGACCAGGTGCCTTATCCGCATGAATGTAGAAGCAAGCTTCTTTAATTTCTTCCTCTGATGGCCTCATAGTCAGGGCTTCATTGGTTTCAGGTGAAATACACGGAGTAATGGCTTGTTTGACTGTGCTGCTGCTTTCTCCTTCCTGTGATGTAAAGAGGGTTTGGAAATACCCAGAGATGACCTTGAGGATACTGTCTTCTTCATAGGCAGGTATACCTTCATTATCCTCAATCACCGAAAACTTATAGATCACTGTTCTGCTTCTAGTGATGGCATGAAAATAACCTGTATTTTTGTCTCCCAAAGCCAACCATAACTGTCTACTTCTTTGTTTCCAGAAATCTTCTTCTGCTTTGTAGGCCAATAGTAGATTGTTATTGATGGTGGAAATCAGATTCTGATCAGCAGTTAGACTTGACATTACCTCCTCTAGCTTCTGCCTATATTCCTCGATGGTTTTTTGACTATTTTGATGCTTGGTCCTAGTCCAGGTAATGATTTCTTGGCGACACCTACTGATTTTTTCCTCAACATCCTCAGTGTCATCCGCTTGCCATGCTGCTTGTATTAAAGCAGTGACTTCCTCATTATCTTTTAATCGTCTATCGTATCTAAATATTCCTTTTTTCCTCTTCTTGGATAGATCAAAGTGAGTAAGAAGGGGTCTGTGATCTGACCCTTCAAAGCGGAGGTACTCGCAGCGACTGGATGGATAATCCTCAGCCCAGGCTCCATTAGACATAGCCCTGTCAAGTCTACAATGTACAACATGATCATGTCTCTTCCCTCGCCAAGAGAAGAAATTTCCGGAGTGCCGCAGATCGTACAAGTCACATTCTGTCATGAATGACCTAATGTCAACAAAGGTACCCTCATATCTAACTGGACCACCTTGTTTTTCTGATGCATCTATGATGTCGTTGAAATCGCCTGTTAAGAACCAAGGCTCTTCTCTATTTTTCCCTTGAGCAGTTAGTTGTTCCCATAGAGCTTTCCTTTTACTTCTGTCTGGTTCTCCATAGAGGAATGTAGCATAGAAATATTTTCCTGCTGCTTTAATTCTTATCTATGAAATTTTGGTTGGTTGACAGAATTGAGACTTCCATTTCTTGCTTCCAGAAAAGAGCCAAACCACCTCCTCCTGGGCTATGTGGAGAAACCAAGTGGTGTGAAGGAAAATTCATCCAGTTAGTTGATGTAATAACATTGTCGTCTTGATTTTTTGTCTCCATGAGGAATAGAATGTCAGGTGAGATTGTAGAGTGAATCTCACGCAATCGCTGGCCTGTTGCAGGATTCCCCAGCCCACAACAGTTCCAGCTCAGAACTTTTAAGGAAGAGGATTTGGTGGATTGGGAAAATCCACCTTCTTCTTCACTATAGCAGGTATGATTATTCTTTTTGGAGCAGCATTGCTTGAAGAGGGGATGTCCCCTCCATTCTGAAGACTAAGCTTTTGTCTTGCTTTTGAGGTCCTGCAGATTTCATTGGTTTTCTGCCTCGGAGAAGCCTCTTTCTCTGATGTACTTTTTCGATTTGGTGAGTTTTGGATTAGGGACTTGTTTCTCTTACTTGACTTGGCTCCCAAAAGACAAAGAGGGGTCTTATTTTGAGTTTTATTCAGAGGAGGACGACCTCTTCTTTTTTTTGCAGGAGCAACAATTGTTCCTTGAGCTTCCTCAGGATGAATTGGCAGGTCCTGAGTCTCCAACTGTCCAGTTATAAGTGAGGTTTCCGCAGTACCCAAGTAAGATTGTTTTGCAATGATTGCTGCCTCTATCATTTGAGAAGCTGTCTCAGCCATAAGGCCCTTTGCTTCCCCTTGAATGACTCGACGTTTTCTTGCAGCACTTTCAGTGGGGTCTGAACAGCTGATATATTGAACAGTCACATCCCTTAATTCTCCCATGACTTCCTCAGTTGTAGGAATCAGAGGGGGAGGAGGAGGAGGAGTGACTTCCGATGTTGTTACTGTTCTCTCAAGTGGGGGTCTCCTTGTTCTAGAAGTTTCTGAGCTGTCAGGCCTAGGATTGTTTCTTGGTGAGGCTTTCTCTCTCCAAAACATTTGTGGCTTTTCATAATTGTGGCTCTGTCTTGACTGGACTCTTCTATGATCATCTCTAGAGAGGGAGTGGGTTCTTGAAGAAGATCTTTCATTGTAAGAAGGTCTATGAACTGTTCTGGTCCCATTATATCCTTCAGAAGCATGATGTGAGGTTCTGCGGCTTTGGTCCTCATAAGTTCTGCGACTTATGGGAGAGAGAGCAGGCTCCATACTCTTTTGAAGCTCATGGTTTCTTCTTTGGGTATATGTATCCTTGTGTGAGTAGCCTCGGCTCTCAGAGAGCACTTCTTTGTTTCTAGGGGCTGCAAAGTTGTCTCTTGGTGTATAGTAGTTTCTAGGCACCTCCTTTAGCTCAGGGAGAATGTCTGTGTGGGGGGATACTCCAGATTTGCCTTTTTCTGCAATGAATCCTGGGCAGTTTTTCTGTTCATGAGTAAGTCTCTGGCAATAGGAGCAGTGGTTTTTGAGATTCTTGTACTTGAGGGTCACTAAAGCTTCACTGCCATCACGGAAATCAACCATGGTCTCCTTTGTCAGTGGTTGTAGACCGTCAATTAGAACTCTGATTTTTGCTGATGAATTAGTGATTTCCATGTTCATCACGTCACCTAATTCGTCTCCAATAGTCTGTAGCATTGCAGGTTGCCAAAAGTGTTTTGGAAGACCTTGGACTTCAATCCAAAATGGTATCTTGGATGGGAAAGAATCAGAGATGACAGGCTCCCATTGTTGGATTATAACCATCCAATGGTCATAATGATAAGGTCTGTTGTCTAGAACCTTCTTCAAATCCTCCTCAAAGTCAAATCTGAACTGGAAGCAGCCTCTTCCCAGATCTGACCCTACAGCTTTGCCTTTCAGGTTCCAACGGTTCGAGAGGAAAGGAAAAAGGGACCAGAGTCTTTGAGCAGAAGGGTTGGTGAGTCTTCCCATAAGGGTAAGGGAGTTTGCTGGTATCAACTCAGTGGTGTCTAGATCTGGAGCTCGGATTCTTTTACGGGGAGGAGGAGAGAAACCTCTGTCAATGCCTTTTCCTTTGAGGTGGTAAGGGATTCTCTTTTCCATGGTTTTCAGTTGGGGTTTAGGGATTCAAAATGAGTGGTGGGTTACTAGGGTTCCTCACTCGCAAGTGAGAGTTTTCACAAAGGGTTAAAAAGCTTTAAAAACTTTGACAGAATTAAAGCAGAGTCTAGAAGAAGGTAGAGAAAACAATACCAGCTGTTTGAGATTTCTTGCTTCTGGCGGGTTTGCCGCAGCTCAGCATCAAGGAGGAGGATGGTTTAGAAGCATATTTGTCACCGGAGAAACGGAAGCTACCACCGGATCTTTCCATTTGTGTTGACAGACCGTTGGATATTGCTACTTTTAGTAAAAGAAAGTAGGTGAGATTTGGTTTTTTGAAAGTTCCATTCTGTTTTTGGGGTACATAGGAACTCGTGCCTGGGAGAGTTTTCTTCAAAACTATCAATTAAACAAAACAATAAACCCTAATAATTAAATACCACTAAGAACCACCAAATCATAAAAACGCCTCCTTGAACCAACCCTCTCGTCGTGTTCCCATTTTAACTTGTCTCTTTTCTTCACGTAAAAGCCATAAAGGAAACATCTTTGTCATTCTCCCCCAATAATAATCCTCTATAAAGCCTCAATTTTTTCTTGGGTCAAAGATTTAGTTAACATCGACGTGTACTCCGACATCATTAAAATCGACGTTTGGTGGGTTTCTTCTCATTCCTTGGTTTCGTCGCCATAGCCTTTTCGAATTAGAACAGGTTTGTTTCTTCTGCATTCGATTTGATTTGCGTTTAAGATATCGAATTTGAGATCTTTAGTCACTTAGTAGCTTACGATTCTTGATTACTGGCACGCATAGGAATTTCTTGAAATGGCTACTACGACGACTATGTCTCATCAAGCGATCGGGTCTATTGTCTCTCATAGACCATTTAAAGCTTCTCAGTTTCTGAAGGAGCCTTTGAATGTTCCAATGAAATTCAGACCAAAAAGATTCAAGATTGAAGCAACTGCGTCTCAGATTTCTGTCGTTGACAACACTTTCTTGTCTCCTACCAAGAACAGACCTCAAGTATCCAAAAAGAAATCAAGTATGCTGCTTTTGGTCTTGGACTCATTATATTAAGAGAAGAGATTGATGAACAAAACATTGAATTCAAGTTTTTATGTTTTTTTAGATGAAGCAGCTTTGATATTGATTAGGCATGGAGAGTCGTTATGGAATGAGAAGAATTTGTTTACGGGTTGTGTTGATGTGCCATTGACTCAGAAAGGTGTGGGAGAAGCTATTGAAGCTGGGAAGAAGATTAGTAACATACCTGTAGATTTGATCTTCACATCATCTTTAATCCGTGCTCAGATGACCGCAATGCTTGCCATGACTCAGCATCGTCGCAAGAAGGTTACAAAAAGATCTAACGGTTTATTTGCTCTTTGTCAGGAAATTGCTCTGTTTGACTTGTGTCAATTTATCTAGGTTCCAATCATCTTGCACAATGAGAGTGTAAAGGCGAAAACTTGGAGTCATGTGTTCAGTGAAGAAACTAGAAAACAATCTATCCCGGTTATAGCGGCTTGGCAGCTGAATGAGAGAATGTAAACCAAATGTCACTTCTCTTGTATTACTTATGTACAAAAAAATTTGATTTTAAAGTTTCAATCTTTTTTCTTGAGTTAGGTATGGAGAATTGCAGGGTTTGAACAAGAAAGAAACAGCCGAAAGATATGGGACACAACAAGTTCACGAATGGCGTAGGAGTTACGAAATTCCTCCCCCGAAAGGCGAGAGCTTGGAGATGTGCGCTGAGAGAGCAGTGGCTTATTTTGAAGACAATGTATGAATGAGAGATTCTTTTATTTTTACCATTACTTAACATAATCGCTTATGTAGATCTCTAATCGTTTATGCAGATCAAACCAGAGCTTGCATCTGGAAACAATGTAATGATTGCTGCTCACGGGAACTCATTGCGATCTATCATTATGTATCTGGACGATTTAACTTCTCAGGAGGTAACAAAACTATCTGGTTCCAGTCCAATATCTTTTATCATTTGGGTTTGCGGATTTGCTGAAACTTAAGGTTGTTTTGGTTTTCTTAGGTTACAACTCTAGACTTATCCACGGGTGTACCATTGCTCTACATCTTCAAAGAAGGCAAGTTCATGAAACGAGGCAGCCCGGTCGGTCCTACTGAAGCTGGTGTCTATGCTTATACAAAGGTAAACCAAACTAAACCAACGGTTTCTTCATCTTCTTTATCTCCATGGTTATGAGCTATGAGTATACTGATATAATGATTCTTGGTTTCAGAGATTGGCACAATACAGAGAGAAGCTTGATGCGGCGAGTCAGGCGACCCTTGACTAATAATGTCTTTCGGAAATAAACCAGAAAAATCAGTTACTTTTTTTTTGTTATTTTTTTTTGTTTTTCGCTTAGCTCTTATGTAGTGACATAACAATCAAGAACAGTTTAAATATGTATTAGATACACAAATCACATTCTTTCATGTTATTAAAAAAAAAAAGGCCAATTCAAAAGGAAATGTCTTTTTTTTTCTTTTCTTGTTTATGTTTTCAGATTCAGACATTAATAGTAAGAGGGAGCTCTGAATCTCCAACGGTTAAGAAATACTTTCCTTCTTCAACAACCATAACTCCAACTTCATTAGCTCTGCTCAAATGCTCACAAAGACCAATCTCAAATTCCATCTCCGCTTTCTCTCCATTACTTAGCACAATGCTCTTAAACCCGACAAGTTGTTTCTCTGCGCGTTTCCCGTTTTCTCCTCCTCTCTCGTGCCTCGCAAACATCAGCACCGGATGTTTTCCTGCCATCTCCCCTTGATTCTCCACTGTAACAATAACCTTAGTCTTGGCTATGTTGCAACCTTCTTCCCCCATTTCCGAAACCAGAGTGTACCGAACAGAGTCCGAGTTGAGTTGAGCTTTAGATTGGTTCAAGTAGAGATTGGTTGCACCCAGGGTCTTGAACCGGTAAGAGTAAGTTGAGTAGCTAAGACCATGTCCAAATTCAAACACTTTAGGGCCTTTGTAGAATTTGTAAGTCCTTCCAGGATATCCAGTTGCAGACCGCATTCTCATGTCTGTCATCTGAACATTCACAAAGCTCTGAGGATACCAAGTCACTGGTAATCTTCCTCCTACACAACACATGAGTAATTGAGTATAATCGAAAATTAGAAAACAAATCAAAGCCTTTGTCCCTAATTGTTGAAGAAGAAGAAGAAAGACTCACCGGGATTGTGATCTCCGAAGATGATTTCAGCAAGAGCAATCCCTCCGGCTTCTCCAGGATAACCAGCCCACATAATGCTTCCGATCTTATCATTATTCGTAGCAAATGAGATATCGACAGGACCGCCACATATCAGAACCAGAACCACAGGTTTCTTTGCAGCATTGGCAACGCTTGTAATGAGCTCTTGTTGCTTCCCGGGAAGACTAAGGTCCACACGGTCCATATCTTCTTTCTCTTGAGTCTGGTCTAGCCCCATGATCAAAACCACATGATCAGCATTTCTCGCGATTGCAACCGCTTGATCAATCGCAGCGTTAGAGCAAGCCACGGAATCACAACCATTGTGGTAAACAGCGTTTTTGACATAACTACGTAAGGCATCAAGGGGAGTCACGGTCTTACAAGGCGGACCAGCATAGTTTCCAAGAAGCGTTTTAGCGACGTGAGCGTTTGGACCGATTACAGCTAAAGACGAAACGCTGCGTTTAGAGAAAGGAAGGAGTTTAAGATTGTTCTTCAAGAGAACTATACCGTTACGAGCAGCTTCGAGTGCTAAAGCTTGATGAGCCGGAGAACAAACATCGTTAGGACTAATGTTTCCATAAGGTAGTTTGGTTGGATCGCCGTTGAAGAGACCGAGACGAATCCTAACAGAGAAAAGATTGAGCAGAGCTCTGTCAATGTCTGTTTCAGACACTTTCTTCTGTTGAAGAGCTGATTTGGTATGTTTTTGTAAGTATGATCCACAGTTTACGTCCATGCCGGCTTTGAGGACATCAGCAACGGCGTCTTCAGGGGTTTTGGCGTAGCCTTGAGCATCGTGGATGATTGAGACTGCGTCACAATCTGAAGTAATGTATCTGAAAAACAGAGACAATTTGTTTATCAAATCAAAGTTGCGTTAAAGAGGCAATAAACGAGAAGAAGAGAGGACCGAACCCGCGGAAACGCCAGAGCCCACGAGCGGTTCGAGTCAAGAGATTTGGGTCAGCGCAAGAGGGAATGCCATTGACTCGGTTATAAGCACACATGATGCCACTGGCTCGGCCTTCTTCTATGCATTTCTTGAATGGTGGTTGGTACGTCTCGGCCAAGTCAGCCAAACTCACCTTTAAAGAAAAACCAAAGAATTATATTATTGAATAAACATAGTTAAATTTTAATCTACTAATAAGTTTAAATTTGAAGAATATTTTGTGAACTTATTTAAATTTTTTTTTTTCTAACAACATTTTACTCGATTCCGACCAGCCTCTCCACGTGAGAATGTCAACATTAAGATTAATATTAATAATAATGATTATAAAGATTAGCACATATATTCATGACAAGACATAAAGATTAGCACATATATTATTCATGACAAGACGTAAAGAGTGCAATCAAGGAATAATTTATGAACTAAAAAAACGGCATTATGTGAAAATTCAACTTCGAGGTCCTAAAGGATCACACTTTAAAAGAAAAGCAAACACAAAAATGGAAAAAGATGAATCAAAAGATAGTAATAAAGCATTAAGAATAGTTTGAATAAAGAGAAAGTAATTTACCTGAGCATTAAAGACGTAGCGAGTGATACCTTTCCAACGATCAAGATCGTACGCTGTAAAATGCTTACAACAAGCGGAGGCTTGGAGATGAATGGAGAGTGTTTTCCGACCATCGAAAGAGTCGCCTTGTAATCCTCTGACGTAAGCCACAGCGTAAGTCCCGGTCATTATCGGATCCTCGCCGGGAGTCTCTTGGCCTCTTCCCCACCGTGGATCTCTAAATATGTTAATGTTTGGTGCCCAAAATGTCATCCCTTGCGCTTGCCCTGCGTTGTACACTCCTCTTGCTTCCTTTCCTATCACCTAAAAATCTCATCAATTCAAAAACATTCTTATTTATTCGAATAATTTTAAAAAAAAAACAAATCCTAAAACACCACCTAAAGTTTTAGCTCCAAAAATTAACATTAGTTATCCAAAAATACCATAAACTAGGTTCAACCATTTAGCATTTAATATTAAAAAAAATGTAACATCCCTTAATATATTTTTTTTAAAAGTTGGATTTTAGTCGTAAGTTTCGATATTTCTTAGAAATTCTCGATTTTGTTAAATTAAAGCTTCAAAATTCCACCAAAAAGCTTATAAGCACGAGAAAAAAGAGAGAGAAAGAAACGAACTTGAGCAATGCGGAACCATTCATAGGAGTCGAATGAAGCAGCGGTCAAGATGACTTGAGGAAAGCTAGTGGCTGCTTTAACCGTTCCGTTAAACCGGATTCCTGGACCGGCGTAGGCTACGCCGTGTAAAGCCTCCGACCACCATTCGTACGCCGGAACTCCAAGACGTGGTATCCCCGGAGCTGTGTTCCCCAACTGCGATATCTTCTCGTCAATGTTTAGCCTCGAGACAAGATCACGCGCTCGCTGGCTAATTGGGAGGTCAGTGCGGCAGAACTGGTAGAGTTTGGTGGTTGGATTCGAAGGGTCACAGGAGTGCGGCGGAGGAGCTGATTCGACGCCGTGGAAGATGAAGAGAAGGAGAAGAAGAAGCAGTTTAGCCATGGCTTCGAAATGCGGAAAAAGAGATGAGAAACTGATGAGTGTAAGAGAGAGTGTGACAGAGTCTTCTTCTTCTTATTCGTTACCCCAATTATGTCTCTAATGAATTGACTTAAATAACCTTCGGATTCGACGGTGTGACCTAAGAATTTATTATATTGTTGTTTTTCAATAACTCTTTTTTGACCATTTAATGGACATCTCAAAATTTTTATTCAATAGTTGAATAAGTATAATGAAAATGTTAAATTATGGTGTTGTGAAGTTTTTGTGTCTTTTTCTGATTTGCTATTTGAGTTTTATTTCCAGATTTTTATCTCATTTTAAATCTTTGAGATCAGTAGTATTTTATAGTAATTATTTTTAAAAAATAATTATATCAAAATTCATCATTTTTTTACTATTTAAATAGAGATTTGTTTCATTTAAATTTGGATTACACATAGAAAAACGTGTTAGTTTCCATATTATCTAAAATAAAATAAATAAAATTATTTATTTCTATTTAATTTTATGCTAATCATTATTAGTATGTAATCACACAAAAAACATAAATAAGGAAACTAATATGAGATATAAAAAAAGAGTAGGATAGGGTGTTGAATTTTATTAAATAAAACTATTGTAGAATATAAAAAATTATATGAATGTTGAGTTAATAGATGAAAAAGAAAAAAAAATGATGTGCAATAAATAAAAAGAATGTTGAATTGTTATACCATTATTTTACGGGCCAAAGCCCAATAATATTTTCTTCAAATAGCTTTTAAGGTCTTTGCTTGAAGCCATTTTGCATATATTTCTTCAGTGTACAGCCCAATTAGTCTTCAAAACGTTTTGGTATCAAAATATGTAATAGCATTTTTATATATCAAGAATTGCTAAGAAATGTACAAGTGAACCGTCCAACCAACCTTAATAAGTGAAAATGGATAGCAATATTTGTTATAACATAACTTATCAGGTCAGGCCATTTGTCACAAATAAACCTAATTGTGATGTATAAAAGAGTTCACCTGGTCACGTAATTAGGTTTGACTAGATAAAAATGTCGGTTTCAAAGAAATAATAAAATGTTACTAGTAGATAATTTGTTTCTTTCTCAGCCAAGTGTTTGGTGGAAGGAGCTTTGTAGAAATTCATTTGAAGTATATTCTAACACAAATTCAACATGTTCAGAATAGTTCACAGCTGGGTATATTTTAAAATTACAATATGTCGAGTTTGTATTTTTACTTTTTTTTTTTTCTTAATGAAATTCTGATAGAAATAAAACTCAAAACTAGTACAACGTGGAGGAAGCTAAGCGTATGCAAAAATTATGACCGACAGGTGTCACTCCTGGTAGAAGTAGGCAAGTAGCAGTCTTTTTTTATTTAAGCAGTAGCAGTCCTTGTGACGACATAAGCTGGTCGTAACCCCGCTTAGTGGTGGTGAATTGACGAAAGTGCCCATTAAGCGACTGTGAGATGTCGGTAGACTACGATGGCCACGTTCCAAAGAGAGTGACACTAACAAAACATATTTCATTACTAAGGGCTTGATTGGTTCTCCCGCTAGCACCCTCCTAGCGGTTGCTAGCGGTCGGTTACGGTTGTTAGCAGTTGGTATCAATTATAGAAACCGCTTCGTACCGCTTCAAACCGCTTGAAATCGCTGAATTTCAAAAGCTCCTTCCCGCAAGCGTTTGCGGTTGCGGACGGTAACGGTTGGATTTAAAAAAAAAAAAAAAAAAAAAAAAAATCAAACGTTTACTTATAATTATTATAACATATATTAATCTTATATATATATCTTTCATCTTTGTATCACGTTCTCATCAGAAACCCTAATCAATATTCTAAAACCTTATTTTCTCAATGTCTTCCACCCAAACTGATGAAAATCAATTTGAATATTTTTTTCTTTCATTATATATTGCTTTTCTTTTTGATTGAATATATGTTTCGATTTGTTTTCTCGAATAGAAAATTACTTGCTTTTTGATTGAATTCAACGTTATTTACAGTTTTTCCCATTACTTCATACAATTTTTGGTGTTAACGACCCAGCATAAAGTACTATCTTATTATAAATTTTTTTTATTTTTGAATAATTATTTAGTACTTTATTTATGGTTTTAATTATTAAGCATGTTCAATTTTTCTAATATTATCATAATAATATATTGGTGTTTTTATTTCTTTTTTTTGTAATATTTTTTATTTTTTTAGTCATTTTTTATTTAACTGCTACCGCACCCGCTGGTTTACCAGTCATAAAACTTCCGCAAATGCATCCATTTTCAAACGCTAAACCAGTCGTTCAAAACGCTTGGTAACGCTTGAAACCGCAACCATCCGCTTCCGCAAACTCCCGCAACCGCAACCGCAACCGCTGCGTTTAAACCAGTCAGACCCTAATTGTTTGAAAATTTCCTCGTGGTCTATAAATTATTAAATACTTTTTTTTTTTATTATTATTCATTAAAATTGTCTGACGCTTGTCTCTTCCTTTCGTTTTCCACTAGAAAATTCAGATATTATCTTAAATATTAAACTGTAAGTTGAAACACTGTTTTGAATTTTGATATAAACTGAACACATATGGAAGTTTAGTCAAAATTCTTCTTCACCAGAATATCCAAATCGAGTCATAAATGGAAAACTAATTAACATGACATCTATTACGTAATTTAAATAATTAATGAAAAAAAAAAACAAACAAATCCTTCTTTTTTAGATAGATAGAAAAAAAGCCAAAAATCAACCGAGAAAGATATAGAAACAAACAATAATTTTGTTTTAAAACGAGATCCCAATAATATACATCAGTAAGATTTCAAAGTGTGTAATTAGAATAAACAATAAACCCCCACACTAGTTGACAAAAAAAAAAAAAAAAAAACCCCCACACTTTGAAAGATATTTTGTTTCCATATTTGTCGCATATAATTAAGTTTTTTTTTTGGTCAATTCTTGAGAAATTAAACGTTTTGTTTTCGACCAAGTAACGACTGTTCCGGTAAATATGTAGGTCCCAAACTTTCCCGCGGACTTAACTCGTTTGTTTTTTTTTTATTTACTACCGGCTCTGACCGGTCCTACCAAAACCCTCTCATTCCTCCACCGTTGTAACTTATATAAGTACAGGCCCTTAAAAACTCCAATTCCAAAACTAAACCACACAAAGCTTTTGATTGATTACTGAGAAAGATACAACTTTTGAACACAGGTTTTGTCTATTTTGTCTCACTCTCTGTTCGATTATACGATTGCGTTAGCTGTTTGTTACGTTTATTGATTTGATATTTTGTTCTTGATCGATTTCACACCAGGTTTTAAGATGGATATTTTCGACAACTCTGATCTTGAATACCTTGTGGATGAGTTTCACGCTGATTTCGATGATGATGAACCCTTTGCAGAGGTCGATATCGCCAGTGATTCTGATTCTGATTTCATGGACTCCGATTTCGATTTCGAGCTGGTATGATTACTTTATGCTGCTCTGATTTAGGAAAGGCTTGAAATTTCAATTGATGTAATGAATAATAAACATGTTATTGGTGTTTTTTAGAGTCAGAGTAAGACGAACAATGATACATCAGCGTTAGAAGCTAGGAATGGAAAAGATATTCAAGGGATTCCTTGGGAGAGCATGAATTACACGAGGGGTAGATACCGTGAGAACAGATTGCTACACTATAAAAACTTTGAGAGTCTCTTTAGATCCAGAGAAGAGCTTTATAAGGTTTGTCTAAGCCAATCAAAGTTTCTAGCTTTTTGATGATGGATGATTTGAAATCTTGAGTTTTGGTGTGCATCTTTCTCATGGTTTCTTGTATTTGATGTTGTCAGGATTGCTTGCAAGTTGAGAAAGGAAAAAACTTTTACGACTTTCAGTTCAACACGAGGCTTGTTAAGTCCACAATTGCACATTTTCAGGTAGACTACTTTGCTTATTTATGTTTTGCAATGTGTTGCATACTCTGTTGCTTCATTTTATAATTACTCTGTTGCTCAGCTCTTGTGTTTAATTATCGAGTCTGCAACTGCAAACAGTTGGCCTCTTATCAAGCCTGAGTTCTCTAGTTCCATGGAATGATTTTATGAGTGGAAAATTCTAGTTCCATGTTGCTTTCAGTGTCCCAATTATTCAACACCGAGTCTAAAACCCACAACTTTTGGTGAGACCTGCCATTGTTTATAAATGGCAGTTCAAAACTTATCTTGAGGATGAATATCATGTGTATCTGTTGTCATTGTTTATTACTGTTTGATATTTGAATTTGCGATTGTTCTTCCTGTTTTCTTATGTTGATCATTGTTCCCACCCTCAGCCCTGTAGCTAGGGGTGTTGATTCACACCAAATCCTTTTCTTTTGCAGATAATCTTCAAGGCTGTTTAAATTTAACCTGCTCGTTTCTAACTTCTCGAAATATAATAACTTAGGTTCGATGTTTTTACTCAGGTACAATACTGTGTAAGGTTCTAACTGATTCAAAAAATGTGTCATGATATGTGTCTAGGATAGTCGAGGCAGAGCTGATAAGTCTAACTGGTCCAGGCAACTTTTTAACATCTTCATACGCCTAGAAAATTATAGTCACAAAGTGTATTAAGATTCCCTTGCACATTAGACGTTGCTTAGTGTCCACTGTTAAACCACGGGAACTATATTATATAGAAGACTTGTCGTTAACACGCTGCTGCGAAACAGTTTCTATATGCCTTAACCTTTTCTTAAACAGGTTGGGAGAGCAGCTGGCGCCTTAAGGAAACCTTTGTTAATATGGTATGATAGGAAATGTTTGCTAATCTACAAGGACTCTCTAACTTTGTCATCCTTCTTTCTTACAGGAAATCTTTTTTGTTCGAGCTTACATATGACTGACTATATGAGTGATTCATTATCATCTGCATTTTTTCGTGATACCATGCTCTTGTGCTTATTATTCTTTCTTCTAGTTTTTTGGTCTTCTTTTTTTTTTCTAGCACAGTTGATTCATAGGTCTGTAAACGATTATTGCTAAAATCTGAGACATTATAGAGTTTTTGTTTTCTTTTTGGCCTTTGTTTTTTGTGAGAACTTGCATATTCTCTTCTTCTTCTCTTTTTTTTTTTCTGTCTAAGATGACAAGTTGTGTCTTATGCGAGTATCATAGTCTCTATTGTCTCATTTTACAGCTGAGGAACTTGGTATGGGCAACATCAAAGCACGATGTGTATTTCATGAACAACTACTCTCTCATGCATTGGTCATCTTTGCAGCAAAGGGGCAAAGAAGTACTTAATGTGGCGAAGCCCATTGTTCCTACAATGGTGACCAACCTTACTCGTCCTATCACTTGTTCTTGAACATCGGAATTCACCTATATATTAACTTTGGTAATTTAATCTGCAGAAGCAGCATGGATCATTGTCGCAGTCTGTATCAAGAGTCCAGATAAGCACCATGGTAGTTAAAGACGATTTAATAGTTGCGGGAGGGTTCCAAGGGGAACTTATCTGCAAGGTATATTAATACATTCTGTGTTCTACAGTGATCTAATTGTTAATTTGGTTTCTCACTTTGCTTGGTCTCTCTGATTACAGAGAATCAACGAACCTGAGGTTGCTTTCTGCACAAAACTAACATCAGCTGAAAACGACATCACCAATTCGGTTGACATATACAACGCACCTAGGTAATTACTATAACAGATATATATACACTGGTTGCAAAAAAAAAAAAAAAAAAAAAAACAATTCTGCTAATCCTTGCTTCCTTTATCCATGTAGTGGCTCGTTAAGAGTCATGGCCGCGAACAATGACTGTACTGTCCGGCTATTTGATGCCACAAACTTTGCCTTCCTCAACAGTTTCACCTTTGATTGGTCTGTAAATGTAAGTTTCACCTTCTCTTAGAACTCGGCTGTTATCATCTGCTCTAGTCTCTAAGTGTTCCATATTATTTATGTTTTTGGTGCGTGTCTGTCTGTAGAACATTTCCACCAGTCCAGACGGCAAGTTAGTGGCTGTTCTAGGGGACAGTCCAGAGTGCTTACTAGCAGATACCGGATCTGGAAAAGTGATACACGGACTCGAAGGCCATCTAGACTACTCGTTTTCATCAGCATGGCATCCAAACGGTCAAATCCTAGCCACGGGTAACCAAGACACAACCTGTAGGCTATGGGACATCAGGAACCTGTCTCAATCCCTCAAAGTGTTGAAAGGAAACATGGGAGCCATCCGAGCCTTGAGGTTCACGTCTGATGGACGGTTCTTAGCCATGGCTGAGCCAGCAGACTTTGTACACTTGTTTGACACGGAAGCTGGTTACACTCAGTGTCAAGAGATTGATCTGTTTGGAGAAATAGCGGGAATCTCGTTTAGCCCCGACACGGAGGCACTGTTCGTGGGAGTAGCTGATCGTACGTACGGTAGCTTGTTGGAGTTTAACAGGAAGCGAAACCACTCGTATGTTGATTCCATATTCTGATCTGACTCCAATCGTTTGAAGCAATTTAAGGAGCTACATATATATATATATATATATGTGTGAGGTTATGGTTAAATTATGTTAGTGGCTTTTGGAGGGGTTAAAAAGTCTTTGTTTTTGTGACTTTCCCTTTGTCATGTTTATGTGGTTTTTAGAAATTCCATCAGACTTACATTTTTATCAGGCAGTATATACTAGGAATTGGACTAAACAAAATATGTACATTACATAAACTTTGATGTTTTTTTTGTTTGGTCAATTGTAGAACATATATAATTTGTATTTACCTCTCTACAATTAAAGTCCTTAATTTATACGCAGATTATAAAATCAATTAAGAATTTTTTTGAATCGAATTCACAACTTGCACATGTTAAAGACGGTCATAGATACAAATTGCACAACTGTACATTTGGAAGACAATTCTGTTGATACACTTAATCAACCAATATTTATTATACCTTCAATGATATAGCCATTGTCACTTTTAAGGTTAATATGTTTGATATTATAATTACAATTTCCAACTACCGTGCTAAGACTCGAAATATTTTTCTATTATTTTTAAAATACACGAATTTTTCAGCTCCAAAAAAAATTACCAATTAATATATAGATTTTTTTTTGTCATAAATTACCAAATAATATTATTTTCCAAATATATATTTTTTTTTAACATCTTACTTTACTTTATTAAAATTGAAAGAGAGATACGTAGTTATTTCTTAGACATACACATATAATCAAGAAATGATTAACGTTTAAGAAGAAAATACAATCGAACAAGTGAATTAAACGCCGCTTTCTTTCATAAGCCTTACACGCTAATAGATTTTCTTTCTTGGTTATAGCTTGTGTCCATAATTGTTGAAATGGTGAGTATCATCTTCTGAATCTCGTTCCATGTAGACATCCCCAAAGGCCCGCGTCGAAATTAACGATTGATGAGCGTTCATATTCCTTGATCAATAATGATATCCAAGGCAAAAATTTGCCGAGGTATACTCGTAACATCAAAGACAACATGATCTCTCTCCACCATATCCTTAAACACTGCCTCGAACTGTTGCTATGAACCGGTGTATGCATGAAACACCTCTCTAATTCGCCTTCACTGTCAATCCCAATGAAACAGTGGGAATGTCGGTCAACATGGAGAGTTGATAAACTGTTCACAGAGATCACATGCTTTATTGATTTCCATGGTGGTTTCCATGGCGGTTGTTTCCACAATAATGCAGTCAAAATTTCATCATGAAACTGGACCGATAAATCACAGCCGTTTGAAAATGAATCAAACGGAGAGTAGCCGCCGGAGACCGTCGGAAAACCATCGATAATTGTGATCATCCACACATAATCAATAGGAAGAACATTCAAATCTCCTTTAGGGAAATTGAGAGAAATCATCGCCTGATCCGTTGAAAGAGAGGCGTCGCCAAAGACATCGCGGGCAAAGGAAAACGAACCATTACCAGCGGATGAAAAAGTTTCAAATTGAAAGAAAGAGCAACTGAAAAGCCAAATTATCGTTCCGCTCACCAATCCCAAACTGGATCAGTGATCACCATCAGCAATTACAAGCGAAAATTCGCCAGATTTTGATGAGTCACTGAGAATCAGAAAATGAGTAAGAACCATAACCGCCGCGACGAGAAAACATACTTGAGATAAAGAACGGTTACGGTGGATTGAGACGAGGAACAAAGGGAGAAGAGTAAAAGAAACTCCAGAAATGATCATCATCACTGAATTCATGGGCAAAATATTTGAAGCAATTGAATCTCCCTCGGATTCATCGAAAGCAAACCAAATCGCTTTCTCAGTCGCCAGAGAGAGAACCCAAGTTTTAATTTTTGGGTTCGTTGATTATTATTCCAAATATAATATACAAACTTTAAAACATATAACCTTTATAATTATGTGGGACATGCTTACGTGGCTACGAATTCGGATCCGAATAAAAACTAAAGTTTTAGCATCGCATCATATAACAACTAGTGGGCTGTTAAAACTCGAAGCCCACCTCGATGTCCAGAAGCAGCAGCACCAGGGCTTTATTTATAAGAGAAATTGTATCTTGCAAATTGTGATTTGGTCGATGTGGGACAAAAATAACAACTAGTATCATGGGCTTTAAATAGTTTAAGCCCAACTCGTTGATCAGAAGCTATCGCATAAGATCAAACCAAAGAAGAAAAGGGTTTTGTATCTTAACTAGATTTGAATCCGCGCTGTACCGCGGGGCTATAATTTTTTTTAAAAAAATCTAAATATAATTAGTTTTGTTTATTAATATAGAGTATAATATAATATTTCGACCTATTTTATAAATGTACCATCTATATATCTATATTAATAGTTTTGAGTATATTAATTGTGTTTTAGGTTTAAATGGTATATCTATATATACACTTAAACGACATTTGACTTTCTTCTTCTTCTTGCCTCAGTTTAGGAGAAAGATTTTTCTTGCGGTACACCGCAGAGCTATTATTTTTTTAAAAAGATTTTTCTTCCTTAAACTTCCAAATCTAGATTTTACCCCGCGGTACACCGCGGGTCGATTTTTTTATAACTAAAAAATTATTTTGCAAAATTTTAAGTTGTATTTGTTTTATTGTTTATTTTGTTTATTGTTTCTGATTTTACAATTAAATTTTGATTTTTAATTCTAGGATTTCATCCATAGTATATTGTTTAATATTAATATTGATCTAAACTCGTTGCACCATATAACCCCGTTCCATAAAATTAAACATCATTTGTTATTTTTTTTGAATAATATTTTTATCCACTACGGGTCGTAGGTTTATGCGGATAAGCCCGTAGAGATTTGCGGGTTTGCGGGTCGACCCGCCAAAAGAGAAGCTATCTTTTGAAACCCTTTGTTTTCTTTAGAGGTTTTAAGAAAATATCCCTAAAAAATAATTTTCATTATATGAAAAAAAAGAAGTAGAAGAAATTGTAGTATCAACATTCCCGATTTTTACATCACTCATTACAATTAATTTTTTTTTGGCAGATAAAAATCAGAAGTCAACTAAGTCGAGATTTTTAAAAAGATTGTGTAGAGATTTTTGGTATTTAAATAGATAAAGAAAGATTTTGTAGAGACTTTTGCTAAATATATGAGAAATAAATTTCAATTAAAAATCTTTACTTAAATAAAACAAATCTAAATAATTAATACTAATGGCATATCATTGTAAATTCTTCTCAACTTCAGGATTTATTTATTAATTGTGATGCAAAAATGTATATATAGATATGAAGAAAACCAATTGGTTTATAAATATGCTTCGGCTGAACTTTCAATTTTGGCATATGCATTCCGGTTGACAGTTTTGTTCTGGTGAATACACACTTATGTTGTTGGGCTTTTGCACAAATAGCCCATTAAATTGACACGATTAATCACTTTTGTCTTCCCCTTTCTTCTAGTGAAAGAATGATATAAGTTAGGTGATAAATGTGGCAATGATGGTTGAGATTGAAAGGATTTTAGAGCAGCATCTAATACTAAACTAAAAGTAGTACACAATATGATATAAAGATGGTTAGAAGATTTGATGGTCGAGATTTTCTTCTATTTTCTCAGACGAATAAAGCAATTAAGGATGTGTCATCATGTGTGAGTGAGTGAGTCACTTAATGTACTAATGTTAAAGCTTTACGAAACATTCCTTAATTATATTTATACCTAACCTTCTTCTTATTCCAGAAAATAAAGAATCCTTAATTCTTTTTTCTACAATAATCTTTTCTTTTTCTTTTAAACGTGTCACATATTAGAATTGCATTCTAATTCCTTAGAGAACAACAAATCTTTTGATATTTTTCATCGACAACAGTGGTATTACAATTCAAATTGGGAACTATGTGCTTTTGAAAAGACAAATGTATTAGACTCCAAATTCTGTACTTATTTTTGGATCTCCATTTATATGAAAATAAAACTTGTACTTAATAGGTATTTAAAAATGGAGAAATGGACCATATGTCACGTTAATCACGATATCACGCGATAAAACCAAAGAAAAGAAAGAAAAAGGCATTTTGAACAAAATGTGACAGAGACAATTCACCTAAAGTTCACATGCTATTCATCTTCCTCACAAAACGACATCCAACTGCTCTGAAAACGACACCACCCTCAGTTTTTTTTCTAGCAAAACTCTCTAATTCAGTCCAAATAGTTTCTATTTTGTATAGAATTTCTTATATCTACTTCAACCATATATTATCAAAGTATAATCACAACAATTTCTTATAATTGTGTCGACGATAAATGGGAATGGAACAAATGTGCAATTTATAAAAAAGGATTTTGATTTGTATTTTGTTTTATGTGACGAAAATGAGATATTTTTAAAGAGACATAAGTGGAGTGAGGTTGGTTGCAGTTCACGGTGACCACACAGCTAGTTAGATGACAGTTCAATCTGGGCCATTGATTATAAACACGTGGCGTAAAAGTAAACGGTCGTTGGATTTTTTAAAAAGTTACATAAAACGGCAGCGTTTTACGTGATGAGAAAACCGCGTGAAGGGGATCCTAAAAAGAAACTTTTCAAAGTAACGAAACGATGAGACGGACACGCGCGATCCATGCCATCAAATATTGATCTGATTGGATACCATTTTTCTTTTCTCTTTTTGTTTTATATTATGGAATATTCTACCATTTTTACGATTACATCATAATTCAAATATTCCATGTACCAAAATTTATTAATCTTAGGACGTGGCTCGTTTGCTGATAATATACATGCATACATTATATGAATGAGACATGTAAATATACAAAAAAAATAACAAATACAGATAATGTAAGGCTTCTGAGCAGTCCAGTTATCTGTATTTTGAATAAAAGCCAATAACAATAATCAATATTAAACAAACAAAATGTCAAGAGTTTTGGAAAGATATATGCAGATTAAACGAGGAAATGTTGCCGTAAAAAGGAAGGAATTATTTATTTTTAAGATAAATGAAAAAAAGAGATAAGAAGCTGTCAATTAAAAAACAGCTAAATTAGAGGGTGCATTATGCAGTTGACATTTCGCTTTCCTCATTACATGCTCCACTAAATTATTCCTCATAACTATCGTATTATTTCCATGTGAAATTTTGTGTATAACCAAGGGAAAATATTTGTGTTTGTGTACAAAACATTACTCACTCCGTATCAAAAAGAATGATGTTTGAGGTTTTATTTTTGTATTAAAAAGATTGATTTTCTATAGTATATTTAATACATTTTTTTTTCAAAATCAATTGATTGGAGTAAGTGGGATAAAAAGTAGCTTGAAATTAATTTTTTAAAAGATATAACACAAAAATAAGTAATAAATATACATCATTTATTGTTTTTTTAATTTTAGTGAAAATCTTAGAAAATCAATGTTTCTAATACGGAGGGAGTATTAGATTTTTTTATAAATTCATAAAGGACTCTTTCAATATATGAAAAGTCATATATCCAGTATCCACCCTTGACCCCATATATAATATCAACCAATAAACAAGATTTTTCAATCTTTATAATATATGGGGTATATTGTGCACAAAAAAAAATAATAATAATAATAATAATATATGGGGTATACAGTTTACGTTGACTTTATGTGTTACGCATTTTAATCGTTTGCAAGTGATTGAGAATTTAGTTTTGTTATATCCAACATATAGATTGTTAGATTCTTCACATATATTTCTATTGTTACTCATTCTTAAAGTTTTTTTTTTTTGGTTAAATACATGACTAAACTATTGTTCGATTAGACTATTTCCTTACGCAACCTTAAAATGTTGCTTCCATTTATTTAATGCGGGTTGCTTCATATTTATGCTCAATATTGATTAAGTTTTGTAACGATAACAAATCTTGACCGTTGGCTGAGTTTATTTTTATATCGCGCAGGTCCGCCGCTATTTTAGTCCAGTGTGAAACTCGAAGTTTCTTCCGCCGTCGCTGCAAACGGCTTACGTGTTCAATAGGCACGTGCTTCCCACATGCATCCCTTACTTCGCCTTGCATCTTCCATGCTCATCTTCTGACTTTTTAATAATAAATTGCTTTTTAAATTTCAGTCTATCTTACAAGTTACAACTCTAGACGCTTCTATTTTTTTACATACAAGTGGTACTTCAGTTTTCTTTACCAAGTTGGTATTAAGTTTTCTAAAGTTTGTGTATTAAATAAGCATGTGTTTGGTAATGATGCAACTAAATACAAACTATGAAACTAACTAGCTAGACGTTATACTGTTATACCTATATTATAATTTTGTACTCGACCAGTTATTGTTGATTTTTTCAGTAACATGTTTTATTTCTTATGGAACTGAAAAAGTTTATTTTCCACGGTAAATATTTTTTCAATAAGTAAAACTGTATAAATGGGAAAAGTGGTTTTTCGTTTTGCTTCCCATTCTAATGACTTGTCGTCGTGATGCAATTATTCATAAGAGATCATAATCGATGTTGCATCTTTGTCAAAATAGTTCAATCAAGTACAGAAAATCGAATTTGAACTCGAAACTTCTACATAATAGATTAATAGTACATTCATAAATTTAACCATGGTCATTTGCGAAAGTTCATTAGATGTAGTAGGTCTTTTTCTTTGGTCGGGCATTTGTATAAAATCGCGTTTTGTAGCAATTGCGGCTAGAGACAAAATACACAGTCAGATAAGATGGCGAAAGGTTCGGACTTTAGCTAAAATATTAGGGTAGTTTTTTAGAATATGATAATGATAATGGTGGAGTTCTCAGCCAATCCCTCTCTAAACCTCTAGAGAGTTCTATTAGTTTTGTAATAATTTATGTCGACTAAAGTCTAAACTACCCATTATAATTATCATCATGCATGATTAATACTTGCGCGACTAAACAACAACTTTAAATATTAAATTATCTTAAATCGTGATGTAAATCTATATCACCATCGGCGTCTTAAGATATTTTTCTTAATTCCAGTTATTATTTATTATATAACGTCGATAGTTGAATTTAGAACCACACTAGTTTAGCTAATTTCGTTGAAAATTCTTAGTGGATTACATGTTAATGATAGATAATACTACTAACATACGATAAAGTGAAAATTCGTAGTTTACAGTATCACGTAATTTATGAAATTATGGGTGTGTAATCTATATAGCTTGCTTAATTTCTCTTGTATTTTGAACCAAAATTAAATTTAGTGCCCAGATAATCTCCACTAAGAACGAAATAAAATAGAAAAATGTTGAGGAGGAAGTAGGTGACCCATTAATAATAAGAATATCACAACTGTTTTGGAAGAGCATCCCTGTGCCACTCACTATCTTATTTTTATCTCTTATCTTTTAGTGATTACAAACAATATTATTATTATTATTATTTTGTTTATAAAAGCATCACTACTATTTTAGACTCCCCAAAGGTAAAAAGAAAGGAATTATTGTCTAAAATGCCATTTTTTAGGAAAAACTTACGAAAATACCATTTTTTGAATAGTTTACGGATTTTGCCCTTTTTTAACACTTAAAAATATACGTATTTTGTGATTTTTTTTGCAAAAATACGTACTTTATACCAAATACTAAACCCTAAGAACAAATGGAACCGACTAAACCCAAACATAACGAGTGAAACGCATGTTAAATCATATTTTTGAAACCTGAAAAAGGGCAAAATCTACAAACTATTCAAAAAATGGCAAAATCCACAAATGCCACTATAAAAAAGGGCAAAATCCGTAATTAATTCAAGAAATCAAATATCGTACCGTTGAAAAAAATCGGATATGATCAACCGGTGTATGAAAAAGGTGATATATAGTTACAACTTACAACATAGAAAACATATCATATGAATGATTAGCAGAAAAATAAGGAAGATTATGTAAATTGTTTATAAATAAGGTAGCAATATCATAAGACAAAAAAATTGTTTGTAGATTATGCAGTACTTATTTTCATGATCAAAAGAGAAGAAATTATTACTTACTCCCTCTGTTTCAAAATATAAGATACTTTAGCTAAAAGCACAAATTTAAGAAACTAATTAATCTTTTTTGTTTTTATATTTTCTACATTAGAAACATAATTTACTATTTTATTTAAGAGAATTTGGCCAATAAAATTTTATACAGCAGAATATAAATAGTCATAAATGTATATAAATTTAATTTTTGCATAGAAACTTGAACTTTTTTGCCTTAGACATTTTATATTGTGAAACAAAATAAAATAGTTAAAACATCTTATAATATGAAACCGAGTACAATTTTAGATATTTTTAAATTTTTGAACAGTAAAAATGAAAGAAAACGAGAGCTAAAAGTCTGTAAGTTTTTGTGAGGCCAATAAAAGAGATGATTAACAGAGAACGTAGCTCAGCAATAACAAACAAACAAATAAGCAAAATGGTCTTTGAACTGTGTGTGAACACAGCCCAGATTGGTCAACAAAATCAGGTATGACTATTTACTCCACAAAGCACAAACAATATGAGGACACGTGTTATGAATATGTACACCTTTAAGCCATTTCCCGCACGCGTCATTCAGTCATTTGCTGCATGTCATGTTTCCCACCGGCTCTCACTCACAGGTTAGGAAACTACAGTTTACCTCCAGAAGATTCAATCATTTCCGATATATTTCCATTACTCCAATCAATTCCCATATTTTTTCTTTTAAAAACTATTTCAAAGAAATTTTATTTTTATTTATAAAAGTTGCAAATTAGGAGTAGATTCTATTTAGATACATTAAATTCCCCTATTTAGAAGAATCTATTTTATAATCTTAATTATTGGTATAACATTTATTCCTTACCCATGTCAACGAACATTAATAGTTATATAAACTATGTTAACAAGTAGTCATGTTTTTATATTATACTTCCTTCGTTATTTTATAAGTGATGTTTTAAACTTTTAATTTTGTTTTTAAATAGATGATGTTTTCAATTTTTAATGCAAAATTAATTATTTTTATTGGTTTTGATAATTTATATTCTGTAGATTTATTTTTATTGGCTGATTAGATAATAAATGATGTTTTAGTTTAAAAATAACCAACAATTAAATGATTTCTTAATCTATGTGTATTCTCCTAAAACATCACTTATAAAGAAACAGAGTGAGTATTAACAAAACATTAACTTATACTCCCTCCGTTTCGTTTTAGTTGTCGTTTTAGGAATTAAATTTTGTTTCGTAATAGTTGTCGTTTTAGGTTTTCAATGCAAATGTTTGGTAAAAATTCCAGTATTATTCCTATTGTTTAATGTTTTGGCCAATGAAAAATTTTATAAGATATATTAATAAAAGGTAAAACAGAAAATTTAATGCTTTTCTTAATTTGTGTGAGAAAACCCTAAACGACAACTAAAACGAAACGGAGGGAGTATGATATAGAAACTAAAATTTTGAAATTTCAATTAGTTTCTAAAATATTAATTATAGTATAACATAATTCATAATCAAATCTTTGTTGAAGAGATAAAGGTTTTTAACAAAAAAAAAAAAAAAAAGTTTGACATTAGAGGATAACTTTAACTAGAAGTTATAGGTGGATTAAAAAAAGAAAAGTTAGGTTATATTCTTAAATATTAGTATCAAGTTTTATTATCAAAAATAACGCTATTAGTTTAATGTTCCAAAATTATTCTGGTTTTGTCCAAACAATCATTTGCATGCATTCAAAATTTAAGGTTGACTATTTAAAATTTAAAGTATAGTGTGATATTTTAGTGAGAATTGTCCAATTACAGATTTTTTATTAAACTGATACTCCCTCTGTTCTTAGATATTTGATGTTCTAAAGTTTTAGTTTGTTCCATAAAGTTTAATTATTTATTGATTAAAATTAATATATCGTAAACTTTAAGACGTAATGATTAACTGTTTTCTAATACTATTGGTTCAAAATTATAAAAAAAAATATTTAGTATAAAAAAGTAATTGATAAATAATTAAATAATGATTATTTTTTAATATATATAAAAATTCTAGAACATCAATCTTGTAGGAACAGAGGGAGTATTTGTTACCGTTACTTGAAAAAAAAGCCTACATAACTGTTTTTTTTTTTTTCTCACTGTTAATTTTTTTTTACCATCTCGTGTCATCAAACATTCTTATTTTAAAATATAAAACGGAAAATATGAAAATAGTGTGAGAAGACTACACCCACTATATAAACAAGAGCCAAGCAGGTGAGGTTAGTTCATCGGTGAGGTTTGAGAGTAATTCACTACACAAAAAAGAAAAAAAATTGAGTGCCCTCCCCCAAAAACAAAATTGGTAGATAACGAGCAATTGTGTTTTTTTCTCTCATTTGATCTTTGAATTTTTACATTTTCTTGCAATTTCCCCCCTATTCTGGTGTCCCTCGCTTCTGTGAATCATCTGTCTTTCAAAAAGAAATAGAAAAGAAAATTCGATTTCTGGGTTTGTTTTTGTCATACAGAAAAATCAAGCTTATGAATTTGTGTTCAATTTTTTGTTTTAATTTGAAAGGCAGGTATTTTCAGAACGAGATCTTTTTTCCAAATTTCTTCTGATTTTACCCTTTTTTTCTTCTTCTTAGATTTTAGTAAACCGAGGGTGAATTTTTGATTCCCTCTTTTTGGATCTAACAGAGGTTGCTTATTTCAAACCTTTTAGATCCATTTTTTTTATTTTTCTTGAATTTTCTCGGAAAATCCTTGTTTCTTTACTTTTGATAAGATTCAGGTTCTTTTTTTCGGATTCAAATGGCAGCTGCTATGAATTTGTACAGTAGTAGCAGAACGTTTCAAGCATCAGATTCGTTTGGTGGTAGTGGTGGTGAACTCATGGACGCGCTTGTACCTTTTATCAAAAGCGTTTCCGATTCCCCTTCTTCCGCGTCTGCGTTTCTTCATCCCGCAGCGTCTGCGTCTGCGTTTTCTCTTCCTCCTCTCCCCGGTTATTACCCGGATTCAACGTTCTTGACCCAACCGTTTTCATACGGGTCGGATCTTCAACAAACCGGGTCACTAATCGGGCTCAACAACCTCTCTTCTTCTCAAATCCAGCAGATCCAATCTCAGATCCATCATCCTCTACCTCCGACGCATCACAACAACACTTTCTCGAATCTTCTCAGCCCAAAGCCGTTACTCATGAAGCAATCTGGAGTCGCCGGATCTTGTTTCGCTTACGGTTCAGGTGTTCCTCCGAAGCCGACGAAGCTTTACAGAGGTGTGAGGCAACGTCACTGGGGTAAATGGGTGGCTGAGATCCGTTTGCCGAGGAATCGAACTCGTCTTTGGCTTGGGACCTTTGACACGGCGGAGGAAGCAGCGTTGGCCTATGATAAGGCGGCGTATAAGCTGCGCGGCGATTTCGCCCGGCTTAACTTCCCTAACCTACGTCATAACGGATCTCACATCGGAGGCGATTTCGGTGAATACAAACCTCTTCACTCTTCAGTCGACGCTAAGCTTGAAGCTATTTGTAAAAGCATGGCGGAGACTCAGAAACAGGACAAACCGACGAAAGCATCGAAGAAACGTAGTTCATCGGTGACGGAGAAGAAGGTTTCGTCGCCAGATCTATCGGAGAAAGAGGTCAAGGCGGAGGAAAAATCGGTCTCGACTGCTGGATCTCCACCAGTGACGGAGTTTGAAGAATCCACCGCGGGATCTTCGCCGTTGTCGGACTTGACGTTCGCTGATCCGGAGGAGCCGCCGCAGTGGAACGAGACGTTCTCGTTGGAGAAGTTTCCGTCGTACGAGATCGATTGGGATTCGATTTAGCTTAGGGGCAAAATAGGAATTTCAGCCGCTTGCAATGGAGTTTTTGTGAAATTGCATGACAGGCCTAAAAGTAATTAATTAATTATGGTTTAGTTGTTAAATTTCGTATTATGTTAATATTTTGTATTATGGGTTTGTATTAGTCTCTGTGTCGGTCCAGCTTGCGGTTTTTTGTCAGGCTTCGACCATGCCACAGATTTCATTTTATGTAATCTTTTTTTTTTCTCTGTCTTATGTAATTTGTAGCCTCAGTGCCTTTATCTTAATGCAATTTTATTTTAGTTTTTGTAGTAAATTGAAGTCGTCTCTACAATTATCTATTTGACAAGGCCAAAACATTTTGATTTCGACAAACCATGTGATTTTTAAGAAGATGAGCATGTAATCTAAGTACATGAAGATTGGATTTGTAGTTTCGTGGATGAATTTGTTAAACTTATCAAAACCAAATAGTTTTTTTTTTTTGACATGAGAAACCAATTCACAGGTCTTCCTTCACCTAGATTTTGTATGAACGTGAACCTTTTTACTACAATTCAAGTGAAGCACGTCTCTTGAGTGTCGTCATAGGTTTTTTAACGTTTTCGTAATCTGTCAAACCCTCTGAAGTCATATGATTCGTCAAGATAAAATACAAAAGTTGATTTGATATTGATTGATAATTTATGTTAACCCCTAAATAAGTGATATTGTAGTCGGATTGATAGAAAAATTCCACCGCAGATTAACATCCTTGAAATATAATATCTACTAATGTTTGCAAAAATTATAAGAAATGTTATCATATCGTCTGTCCAAAATGGTAGTTTCGAATCATAGAAAAAGGATTTAATACAATCAAGTATGTAAGCGTAGCTATTTGATTGGTTGAGCCCTCAACAAAGTAACGTTCTAGTGATATTAAAACAGGTGGTAGAACGGTTTTAATTTGTTCCACTAAAATTTTGTTATGTTCTAAAAAAAAAAAAAGTTTATATGTGGAATTGCATCTATGAATGTTATAACGCATTTACCTGATATAACTCATTTGCTAACACGTCACCTTATTCTTCATATCGTAGTTAGATTTTTTTGGATCTTTCTCACACGTTCTCAAATATCACTAATGGTGTGAAATATTTCTTGTCCGTTTTAATATCACTAATGGTGAAAGCTTGGCGTGTTGATGTATGTGGCCGGCCTTGCCACAACTTTTCGTGAAGCATTTTCTATCATTTATCTTAATACTTACTTATATCAAAAGAATGTCGAAACTCAATAATTCGATGTCACTGTAGTGAGGTAGAAAAAGACAAAGTCGGTAAGACATTGATCGAATCTTCTTCACACATTTTAGAAAAAGTAGACATGGATTTTCGCCGGTACACAAAAGGTGTGACTCAAAGAAGTAAAAGGGGAGATACAAAAATCAACGTTTGTTCATCATTTTTGTTTTTTCATGACAAAAATTTTATCTCTAACATTTCAAATTAAAATAATCCACATACCCATATTAATATGTTTTGTTTTTTTTTTTTTTCGAACCCCATACATTAAATAATCGGAAGTGATTATTTTCGAGAGAGAGCCAATCGAAAAACGACAGATTTACATGGGAAAACAGAAACCACTTGCTCTTGCACTTCGTAAGTCTATCAGCACGGAAGTTAATTTCACGGGGAATATGCATAATACTAAAAAATACAAAAAGATCTTTATAGTACTTGAAATTTGTTAGCTCAGATACAAAAATATACCAATTTCCGGTACTAACAGTAGTCATAGCAAGTAAATCAGACCAATCCATCTAATATGTTTATTATATAAGTAGCAAATAGAGGAAAATTCCAACTTACGCAAAGGAAGCATAAAGATGGAAAATTTGAAAGGCACACAACACCAAAGGAGCCCACCAAAGATTATGTTCACACTCCATTTCTCTTCTCTTTCACATGCGTTTTTCAACCATTTTTTGTATAAAAGTTATTGTATTTATGACATTGCATTGAATTCGGTAACACCATTATTGTTCATAGACGTCTAATCTTGAATAAAAATCTATCAGCCTGAAGTAGTTTGTATCCATTTTTAATTTTTTAGTAATATCCGTCTTTGAATCACTTTTGATTTCAACTTAGATAACCAACTTACCAAAACCAATTCAAGGATTTTTGTAGATAGCTTATACATTTGACTAATACAACTAGACCATCACATTATATAAGAGAAACAAGCCCAACAAGGCAACAACAGTGGTAATTAGGCCTGGACTTTCGGTTAACCGTTCGGTTATCGGTTGGGTCAATTCGGTTTCGGTTCTTTCGGTTTCAAAATTTAGTATCCATTCGGATATTTTGAAATTTTGGTTTGGTTTCGGTTCTTTCGGTTTAAAAATTTAGTATTCATTCGGTTATTTTGCTTATGATAGTTTCGAATATTTCGGTTATTTTTGAGTATTTTACCATTTTTATATATTTTTCAAGTATTTTTGATCATTTGGTCTATAAATAACTAATTATTTTGAAAATATAATTGTATTTCGGGTATTTCGGGTATTTCGGTTACCCAAAATATTTCGGTTCGGTACCGATTCGGTTACGGTTATTTCGGTTATAGAATTAGTATTCATTCGGTTATTTTCAAATTTTTGGTTCGGTTTCGGTTCGGTACATTCGGTTCGGTTTATTTGCCCAGGCCTAGTGGTAATCTTGAGTTAAAAGTGCATTTGTTCGTGCAATTCTCCATATAATTAATCTTACAAATATGGGCCTTTTCAAATTAGCCCATAGAAAAAGCCCATATTTTAGTATAGTAGAAACTAGAATGTATAGAAACCCATAGTTGTTTCTCGGTATAAAAAATACGCAGTTAGTGGAGAATGGGCTTTTTGGTGGGCTTTATAGTATAAAGTTTATACTATGGGCTATTGTGGTTCCCCGGAGGATATTTGATAGCCCGACCCCGACATTTCACGTTGCACACTTCTTCCGTTGTTTGTCTTTCCCTAATTAAGGTATTTTGGAGTAACTATTTTATTTTATTTCCCGTATAACCAAAAAGTTAAATATCGCAATATGAACACAGATCACATAAACGCCAATCTATGAGAAAGAGTAAAATTAAAGACCCCTTAATGAACACACCATATGTTTGGTACAAATTATGTTAAATTTATGCAACAAAAATTTGGAAATATTCGTCGAAAGTTATGTTATTAACTAATTTTCAACAAATATATTTTATTACGTTTATGTATTAAATTATTATTATAATATATTCAAATAATTGAATTATTATATAAAATTTACTATGTCTTAAAGTTATATCGTAAATATTTTCTAAAGATATTAAAAAAAATTTATGAATAAAAATGTAAAAAAAAAAAATTATGATTAAAAAACACTTTTGAAACATTTTTTGTGAATATAAAATTATTTATAAGTGACAAAATAACTAAAAAAGAGTTATAATATAGAGAGGAAAAATTCTAGCGGTTCAAAACCAAAAAGATATAAAAACACAACCAGAAAAATAACCGTCAACACAAAAAGTAACCGTCAATCTTTTAACGAAGAGTTGCGATAAAAAGACATAACCGAGAAAAAATAATCGTCGATATTTTAACGGAAAGTTGCGATAAAAAACACAACCGAGAAAAAATAACCATCAATATTTTAACGAAAAGTTGCGATAAAAAGACAAAACAAAAAAAGTAAATGTCAACATTTTTACTAAAAGTTATGATAAAAAGACACATCAGAAAAAATAACTGTCAACGAAAAATGTAACCGTAAATATTTTAACGAAGAGTTGCGATAAAAAGACACAACCAAGAAAAAATAACAGTCAATATTTAAACGAAAAATTGCGATAAAAAGACACATACTGAAAAAAATAACTGTCAATTTTTTAACGAAGAGTTACGATAAAAAGACACAACCAAGAAAAATAACCGTCAATATTTTAACGGAAAGTTGCGATAGAAAGACACAACCGAGAAAAATAAACCGTCGATATTTTAATAGAAAAATACGATAAAAAGACAAAAAAAAAAAACCTTCAATATTTTAACTGAAAGTTACGATAAAAAGACACAACCGAAAAATAACCATCAATGAAAAATTATAACCATAAATATTTTAACAAAGAGCTAGGACAAAAAGATACAACCGAGAAAAAATAACCGTTAATATTTTAATGAAAAGTTGCGATAAAAAGATACAAACGAGAAAAGTAATGTTAATATTTTAACGGAAAGTTGTGATAAAAAGACACAACCAAAAAAATAATCGTCAACGAAAAAAAGAACCGTCAATATTTTAACGAAGAGTTGCGATAAAAAGACACAACCGAGAAAAAATAACCGTCAAACTTTTAACGGAAAGTTGCGATAGAAAGACACAACCAAAAAAAATGACCGTCAATATTTTAACGGAAAGTTTCGATAAAAAGATACAACCGAAAAAATAACTGTCAACGAAAAAAGTAACCGTCAATATTTTAACAAAGAGTTGCGATAAAAAGATACAACCGAGAAAAAATAACTGTCAATATTTTAGCAAAAAATTGCGATAAAAATACACAACCGAGAAAAAAATAACCGTCAATATTTTAACAGACAAAAAAAAACACAACCGAGAAAAAAATATCGTCAATATTTTAACAAAAAGTTATGATAAAAAACAGAAACGAAAAAAGTAACCGTCAATATTTTAATTGAAAGTTGCGAGAAAAAAACACAACCAAAAAAATAACCGTCAACTAAAAAAGTAACCGTTAATATTTTAACAAAAAGTTGCGAGAAAAAGACACAACCGAAAAATAACCGTCAACTAAAAAATTAACCTTCAATATATATTTTAACGAAGAGTTGCGATAAAAAGACACAACCGAGAAAAAATAACCGTCAACATTTTAACGGAAAGTTGCGATAAAAAGACACAACCGAGAAAAAATAACCGTCAATATTTTAACGGAAAGCTGCGATAAAAAGACACAAACGAATAAAGTAACAACCAATATTTTAACAGAAAGTTGCAATAAAAAGACACAACCGTAAAATAACCGTCAATATTTTAACGAAGAATTGCGATAAAAAACACACCCGAAAAAATAACCGTTAATATTTTAACGAAAAGTTACGATAAAGAGACACAACCGTTCAGAAGTGCAAAATGCATTTATTGAGGTTGTTATTTTGGTTAATAAAACCAATTTGATATGTAGTCTAATGGTTGATGTAAAAAAACTTCGTAGTATTACTAACTATACAAAAAATGCAATGAAATTATATAATGGAAAGACGTAACTTTAAATGAATAAATGCAACTATAAAGATATAACTGTAAACTGAAAAGATACGACTGTAATTGAACAAATATAACCGTAAATAATTCAACGAAAATTCAAAGATAAAATTCAATAAAAAGATATAACCATAAAAAACGTAACCGATTTAAATGAAAAGTTGCGATAAAAAGACGTAACCGTTCAGATGTGCAAATGATATTTATTAGATTGCTATTATATATAGATTTCTATAGTAATGAGTCCAAATAAACAAAAGAATGCACTAATATATGGACTTTTCATAAAGTAACTTATTCAAGTAAAGATTTTTGACGTTATATGGAGAGACTAGGTTCAATGTTCGTTGGGAGGGATCTCTACTTTAAAAGAGATGAATTTAATTTGGTGTGGGTCTAGTTTCTGGGAGACGTAGAGCCTTCGGTTTTAAACTTCCAGATACTAAAAAAAATCAAAACGTAATTGGATATGGAAAATTTTAATTATCCACTAAGAACTAGCTAATCAATCGATATTTCAAAAGATTATTAATATATCCTAAATAATTATATTTTAATTTGTCAACAATGAATTATACTCTATATGTAAGATAATTTATTTTTTGCCTCCCCGCAAAAGGAACTCAAAGTACGATTACTATCTCATATTCCCATTTAAATAAGCAATGCAAAAACTTTCCGTTCGTGGCAAATCTTGGGAACCTCCATTTACAAAAACAAATATTGGCGATGTATATGATTTGTAATTTATAAAGTTTGGACTAAATAAATATGAAATTACATGCTCTTTCCTATTGTGATTCACCTCCAAGATTGTAAGAAATAATAGCAAAACAGTGGAAATAATAGTTGGGACAATAAAAGATTAGTTAGGACGTGATAATGCATTCCGAATAGTATTTTGTTAAGTATTATTGTTAAGAAAAGTGTGATGCACGTCTAGATCTATCCTATTTTTTGAATATATGTACACTTCAATATAATTTAAACTAGTGTCATATATATATATATATATATATATATATATATATATATATATATTCATTAGCACAATTCGAAGATAATATTTTGTTGCTGCTTTTTTTTGGTGGGGATAAAAAGTAAAATTTGTTGTTGGATTAAACATACATGATTTATACAAATTGTGTTTATATATAATATAATAAATATGTTACAGATTCTAGAATGTGTTGGACTAGATATTAGATAAGGGTCAATTTGGTGGTTGAAATATATATGGATAGGGATGTCAAATGAGTCAAAATTCATGGATCAATATAACTCAACTCAATCCATGAATCCTAATGAGTTGAAAATTTTGACTCAAATGAGTTGATGGATCAAATAAGTTATTGAGTCAAATGGGTTGATGGATCAAATGAGTTGGGTTATAATGGGTTAATGGTTTCAATGGTTTACCCATTTAACCCATCAATTTTTGTTAAATTGAATCAAATCAATTCCAATCTCTAAACCGATTTCAATTTGAGTCTAACCAAAACTTCTAAACCGATTGAATATAGTCCTTAATTTTCCCGCCAAAAATGTGAATACACAATTTTTCCATCAACATATAAATTCGTGATTATCCCGCCAAATTTTTTGTAATTTTTAACCAAAAATGAGAATGTAAAATTTTCCCGCCAAAAACGTAAATCCGTAATTTTCCCGCCAAAAACGTAAATCCGTAATTTTCCCTCCAAAAACGAAAATCCGTGATTTTCCCGCCAAAAACGTAAATCCATGATTTTCTTGCCAAATTTTTTTATAATTTTTAACTAAAAATTAGAATGTCAAATTTTCCCGCCAAAAACGTAAATCCGTAATTCGCCAAAAACGTAAATCCGTGATTTTCCCGCCAAAAACGTAAATCCATTATTTTCCCGCCAAATTTTTTTTATAATTTTTAACTAAAAATGAGAATGTCAAATTTTTGCGCCAAAAGCGTAAATCCGTAATTTTCCCGCCAAAACGTAAATTCGTGATTTTCCCGCCAAAAATGTAAATCCGTGATTTTCCTGCCAAAACGTAAATTCGTGATTTTCCCGCCAATAACGTAAATTCGTGATTTTTCCGCAAAAAAATTAAATTCGTTATTTTTTTCGCCAAAAACGTAAATCTGTGATTTTTTCGCCAAACATGTAAATCTGTGATTTTCCCGTCAAAAACGTAAATTCATGATTTTCCCGCCAAAAATATAAATCTGTGATTTTCCCGCTAAAAACTTAAAATCCGTGATTTTCCCGCCAAAAACGTAAACTAATGATTTTTTTTGGTATGAACTTAAATCCGTTATTATTATTATTATTATTATTATTATTATTATTATTATTATTATTATTTTCTTTTTATTGTTAATTTACTTTAATTATTAATTTATTTTAATATTAATTTATTTATTATATTAATGGGTCAACCCATTTAACTATGAGATAATTGGGTGTAAAGTACAACTTTAAGTCTAAATTAGTTTTGTCACTATCCATTTAGTTGAGCAAACAATATAAATATATAGCCCCGTAAACAGACTAAATTAGCCCCACGCTCCAATTTTTTTTTTACACTTTTCATTATCTCTCATCATCAAAACCTTTGCTGGTCATTTGTTCCCCATTTCATCTCTTGCCATTATTCTTTCACCGGTGATTTCTATAGCAAATCAAATATCGAGAAGTTGGTGAATCTATCTTAACTTTTACATTTTAATTATTGTTATAGTTTTAAAATTTTTGTTTTCATTCTTGGTTTATTCGATGATTCAAGGCCGTTAATTCAAAGGCGAAAATCCATTTTCGGTGATGGTATCTAACTTGATTTTGTTGGTAGCCATGACGGTGACGCGGCCGCCGTGTGCGGTAGAAGATTTGAGGCCGAAGAGAGATTGTGTGTTGGCCAACGGGAGGGATCTGGGGTTACTTTGTTTTTTGTTGACGGTGAAGAAAAGAGGTTCTTACGATAGCGCTGGAGAGAGAGAGCAGTGAAAGCCATTGATGAAAGATGTGCAGTTTACTTAGTACATGTGTACATATATTATTAACGTTCTATATATGTGTTTACATTTATACAAATATTAATAATGCTCTATATATGTATTTACATGTATACAAAATGTTAATAACACCTTATGTATCATGTAATATACATATCTTTTTTTTTTTTTCGTCTGAATGATTCCATTATATTATACGAGGGTAGAATACGGTTTTGAAATACAAGACCGACAAGAGTCGAAACTCTTTCGGAAACTAAGCCGGCGGAAGACATAAATATCCCCGGGAAACTAAGCCCAAAAGAGGGAAGCAAACTATAAACAAAAAGGTACAAGAAGGTAAACTCAAAAGGAACCAAAGAACTAAATCTGAGACTCGAAACCATCATAACCCGCAAACAATCCCAGAGAAACGGTTGGCGTCGGAGTTGAAACCAAGAAACATGAGCCTCAAGAAGAAACAACCAAACATGCAAACTCCAATAGACCGGAGATCCCGAAGAAGAACGAATCTGAAGGCTCAACCAGCAACAATCCGACAGAACAGAGAGCGAGATCAATCCGAAAAAAGAGCACAGCAACAAACACCATCATGCCATTTCCACCATGGAAATGAGCTCGAGCGAAACCAGGCACAAAGAACCTTTGAAAAACGGCTGGGGATAAGTCAAAGAGGAGCACCAACTCTTACACGCGGACAAAGTGAACCAATCAAAGCCACCTACACACCTGAACCGGTCACGACCTCGCAAGAGAAGAACTAGTGAACGAAACCACTGCTGCGCTTAGAACCCAACAACGAAAACCGAAGACGGCTTCATAAAAGACCTAGTAGATGCACCTGCAACGATGTACCATCCGAGAGACAAACCCCAAACACGAACCTAGCCCACCAGAACCCACACACAAACTAGAGGAAGCAAACAGCGAAGAAGAACTAGGAACCCAAAGCAGAGAGATAAAGCAAGCAAAGCACTAATCCGGAAAGTACAACAAAGCCATACAATAAGCCGTAGAGTTAGAACCCAAAAGCAAAACTTAATCTCTGCCCAAGCCTAAAGCACCAACTAAACTTTCAACACAAACTACAAGATCTAAACCAAACACAACCAACGAAGAGCCAAAGAAAAAAGAAGCATGAGAGACAAGAGGAGAATTGGGTCACCGAGAAAACAGAGCCGTTGTTCAGATCAGAAGAAGCCATAGATGCTCCAAACACAATGAAGCAAGTGGTCAGGGACAAGAAGAGGCACCACACATAGATGCGATAGTGAGAACGACGATTCCATCATCACCATCGATCAAAAGCCCTTTCGATTCCAATCTCCTAGAACCAAACTCCATCAGATCTGAAATTCAACAATAACCCAAACCAACTCGCCAAAACAACCACGCTTCCAAGACCTAAGAAATCAAAGACAATACATGAAAGAGAGGACCGACGCCGACGCTGTGGGAGCCGTCACGCGCCGGTCAGATCGTGGCCAAGACGATGAAGAAGAAGAACGGCGATTAGGTTAGAGAGAGAAGGAAGAGTCGGGGGGTGTTTTACCAAAAACTGGTGTAATAATAATAATATACATATCTATTTTGTATATAAATGTATTACTTCACAAATGTTAATAATACTCTATATACGTGTTTATATGTATATAAATATTAATAATGCTCTTTATATATGTATTTACATGCTCTGTTCGACAATCGGGTTGCAGTATATGTTTGTAACATACAAATCTACAAAAGTTAATAACACTTTATATACATGTGTACCTATGTACAACTGTTAATACCGTTCTATATATGTGTTTACATCTATACACATGCTAAATTAGAGAGACATTTTGGATATTAGTTCAAATTTGAGATATATTGTAAAAATGTTACGTCAACCAATTAGTTCTATCGCTGCACAAGCATCATTTCACCTGATAAGCATTAAATGCTTTGCCCAAAAAGTCAATTATTACACTCAACATTTTTGCATACGCGCGCCTCATGGTTTTTCCGTAAATAGATAGATTTGCAGACCTTATTTTTGCTTTTTTATATCGCCCTTCCTAGGTAGATAAACTGATTGTCTCTGACCTCATTTATTTGCCCATTTTTCACTCTCACCAAATCGTCTCTTTAACTATCTAACCCATCAGAGTTCATGGGTTGACTCAACTCATTTAGCTTCAAACTCATTGGATAATGAGTTGAGCTGAGTTGGGTTAACCATTTTGACATCCCTGGATAATTAAAATCTGATATGCCTTTATATATATATAATATATATACACTTCTAACATGCTACCCAAATATATTTATATAGTACAGTGCTTCAAAATACAAATGAACATTTTGTTGTTGGATTTAACATATATTTTACAATAAAATAAGAGAATATATTGGACTAGCTAAATGCCAATTTGGTGGTTGATATCAAATTAATTCTTTTCTTAATTAATTAGAGAAACATTAAGCTAAGTGACAGAAAAATATCAAAAGTGGTTTAGTACTGTTACTCGATTCATTTTAAAAAAGGTTTTCATGTCGTTTAATTAAGTTGGAAACTCTATTCAGACCTAACTCTAATAGTTAACTATAACTTTTTTTTCAAAATTATATAGTTAAGTATATCTTTCATCAATTTCTACCAAACTAATTACATGTGTCTTCACATGACTTCACACTTCGTTTTTCTATTTTTCTGCCATCAAATCAAATAGTACTAAATAATGTGCACATACCACACAAAACTTTGTAATATATACAAATTTGACTAATATAAATGTATTGAAAGTTTAGTCAGATATATAACCGACCACTATAGTCGCTTGACATTCATTTAGTTAATACATGCTGAATGATAGTGAAGTCGAAGTTGGCATAAAGGGACATCAATATTTCAAACGGGATAATTATTGGTCGGAATATGGTATGCTTTCTTGTAGTATAATAGTAAAATTCAGTATGATATACTTCATACATATTGATTGTTGTTAATTATATTGAAAAAAACTTTATAAATTTTTGTCCTGAATTGTCTAGCTATAATAACCTCATATAAAATTTTTGAGAATTTTTTTTGTAACCCACTAAAACCCTTGTTTGAAAAATCGCTAGGCGCTAGTCGGGCGTTCGGCATGGGCCTAGCGATTAATCGGAAAATCGGATTAAAATCGGGGATTAATCGGGGATTAGTTTTAGGGTTATTTTAATATTTTTAAAATATATTAATTCAATATTGTTTTCAAAATTACAGTAAAAACAAATTTTTATGATTTTTATTAAAATTTGAACACAAGTTATGTAAAACATCACAAACTCCCAATTCAAATGATTGAATAACAAAAATAAAATGTTTTTTTTATACTTGTAATCTAAAAAATAATCGGGGTATGTAAGATTAGGCGGGAAATAATCGGATTAGGCGGGAAATAATCGGATTAGACGGAGAATAATCGGGTTACTGATTTTTTAGGGGATTAGTCATTAATCGAGGCGGAAAGGGTGGGCCTAGCGATTAAGCAGGGAGTAATCGGAGCTAGGCGGGGATTTTTAGAACAGGGACTAAAACTGTTGCAGAAGCCTTAGTTTGGATCAACAAATTAAACCAATATGTTGAGTTGTATGTTAACTTGTAAAGCATGATCTTTCGTTGACGTACGTTGTATAAAACCATCATTTTTATGTTGATAATTTGTTTGTTTTAATTCATTTAATATATATCGTTGCAAATTTTCATATACTTAGCATCTGCTGTTTTGTTCAACAATTTAGTTACACGCAAATATTGTTACTTTAAAACAAAAACATAGGCACACTTGTACACAAGTTAATTTGCGTACATTGTTGGATTACTCTTGATTTTGTCATCTCTTCTTCATTATATATTTTTGATTAAAATCAACTGAATAAATTTATAATCCCTATTATAATGAATAGTAGAATTTAATTCATAAACCTATTCAACTCACTGCAAAATTATATATTTTCATATAATTTAATTTGTACTCGTTTAACTATCTTCGTAAAACTAAATTTTTAAATTATAATTTAATCAGTACAAACATCTTGGAAAAAAGCTTCCCATTAGGCTATTACAGTATTACATATATATATGAACTATAAAACTACTTAATACATTGCTATTTTGTTGGTTCGAGTGAGTTTTTAATATTGTTCATATCAATAAAATAGTACATGATATTATTGATCGCACCATAGCAAAAAACAATGATGATATTGTTTTAAAACAATCAAACTAACATTGAATATAACATTTGGAAATTAAAGAAATAAGCTGCTTTAGCTCATGGGGCAAGACAGTTGAAATGTGGCCCTATGCTTCATTGAAGGGACTCAAATCTTCAGTTTTGTTTTGTACTTTTTCTTCATTAGCTTTGGGAATGAGCCAAATAGTAATTTACGAAATGGTTATAAAAATTGTAATTATCTTAGATAAATTAGAGAAAAATATCTTTTTTAAAAAAAAATCAAAACATTTTTCCAACATTTACTGAATTTTGAGACTTTAATCAATAATTTTTTTTGTAAGAATAACTAAAAAACAGAACTGGTATAGAGTTTGATCTAATTTAGTTTTGAAGCTGGTTAAATAATATAGACAAATAAAGTTATACCAGATAAAGAACCAGATTATCACGAAACAAAAACTGAAAGGTTGACAAAAAGAAGACATAGCAACTAAAAATTTGGTGCAAGTGGGCAAATAATAGATAGCCACGTAGGCACATTCACATGTTTTATAAAAAACAAAATTATTGTGAGGAGAAAAATAACAAAATCATCTTACGTTTACATTAATGTTTAGTTCTAACCGTAAGAATCTTACCGTTGAATTTCAATCACATTACGTAGGTCGATTTGAATACACAAAGTACCTCTTTTCGGTGATATTCGTATAATTTGTAGAAAAAGAATCATTGGTGTCGATTAAAAAAACAAAGATTTTGATTCTATGAGTTTACAATATTAAAACTAGTCGCTCTCTAGATCTTATTTTCCTGATTCGAATAAATTTGAGTTGGGATTTATTAGTGAAAAGTTGAAAATTAAAGGCATTGCTCAGCTATAAATCTCTCCCAAGTCTAGAAAATTTAGGCAATTTACCAAATTCATTTAAAAAAAAAAAATTATTTTGGACCACAGAGAATCAGTCTAGTAGTCTATTATTCACAAACAATCGTGGGAGGGACTCGAACTCATCTGATGTGAAAACGTTTCTCTACTAATCTAGAATGAAAATATATTATCTCTTTTTTTTTCTAATTGTTGTTTGCCCTCCATGTAACTATTATCTTTTTACAAATTATTTGAACATTTAAAAAATATATATATTTTAACATTTTTATGGAATATTGTTATAAAAGTTATTATTAAGCGGTTAAAGGAAAACATAAGAGTAAAAAATAGAGTAGGGATTATTGTCTAAAATGCTATTTTTTAGGAAAAACTTACGAAAATGTCATTTTTTGAATAGTTTACGGATTTTGCCCTTTTTTAACACTTAAAAATGTACGTATTTTGTGATTTTTTTGCAAAAATACGTACTTTATACCAAATACTAAACCCTAAGAACAAATGGAACCGACTAAACCCAAACATAACGAGTGAAACGCATGTTAAATCATATTTTTGGAACCTGAAAAATGACAAAATCTACAAACTATTCAAAAAATGGCAAAATCCACAAATGCCACTACAAAAAAGGGCAAAATCCGTAATTAATTCAATAGGGTAAGTTAAGAAATATAGATAGATAGCAGTAAAAGATAAATGTATCCTGTACATAAAAAAGAACAATACTGAATACAAAAATAGAATTAGGGAGTTCTAGAAGAGAAAGGACCACCGAGCAGCAGGGACCATGCCAACAAATTTTATTGAAAAACAAAAATCTTCCTTAATAAGAAAGTTATTCAAGGTCTCTTTGTGGAATGGGGACCCTTAATCAAAAGATTAAATCTCCCAAATAAATTAATTAACTTACATCTCATAGTAATTATATTTTTTACAAATGGCTTAGCATGCCTTATTCTTCCTACATTGTTTCTGAAAGGTATTATTTTCTTACCACCATTTGAATATTTTTAAAAAAAAATTTTTTATTGAAATATAGATTTGGGATCTTAATTCTGATACATATAAATAATCATCTGTTGGAAAGGGGGCACACATATGTAGAAAATTGCATCGTGCCGGAGTATATAATTTGGTATATGGAACTATTTATAATGAACTTTGGGGTTATGGTGATTAGTTCATGAACCCAACAATGCCTAATTTAGCTTTTCTCTAACCGCCGCCGAATATAAAGATAATAATTAAGCAAACAATAAATTAAACCACAACCGCACATTTTCTTAATTAACAGCACGAAAATGATCAGAAACTTCCACTCATGTGCTTAACATAAAAAAAACTCTCATGTGTTTATGACTGTGTTTATATTTGTACAAATTAGTTGAAATACAATGAATGTGTGCTAATGGAGCTTAAATTAAGAAATTAAAAATAAAAACTTTTGCAAAA